TTTCTCGCAAGAAAAAAAGGTTCTATACGCGGCTGTTTGTTTGCAAAGACGGATCTATCACCTAGGATTTTAACCCGAGCGAAGCTGAGGTAGAACATAAATGAACTAACCCTATAGCCACTCAACAGATTAACAAGCCATCATGGCCAAACCTCAATCTTCTCCCACTGCCCATCCCGTACCCTCCCCGCCTCTTTCGCTTTCCCTTCCCCTCCCACAAGCCCGTCGTCCCCCCCACCGGGCTCGGCCCGGACCCGGCGGTAAAGCCACCGTCTCGGTCTCTGCGGGTCGCGGAGGTCGACCTGGTCCACCTCTCGGGGCACAATGATCACGACCCGGAAATTCCCCCGGGCAACGGGATCATGCAAGTCCTCCACTCTCCTCCCCACCCTCTCGGCCGGGTCGTCCGTTCCCTCAGACGAAATCGGCGTCCCGGGCGGGGGATTCGCAAACGATCCGCGCATAAGGGGACCCAAGTTGCCGAAATGCGCCGTGACCTCCCTCGCGAAACTGAACCCTTCTCCGCCCTCGCCTGTCGCATCCCGCATCTGCGACAGGAGAAACCTCTTCAACTTTTCCTCGCCCCATTCCCTTCCCCTCTCTCCTTCCCCTGGCCCCTCGTCGCCCCCTTCAATATCAGGCCCCACGACATACGCCTCCCCACGAATCCTCCACTGCGTCATAACCTCCTTCCCCCTCTCCCCCTCCCCCTCCCCCTCCCCTTTCCTCCCCGGAGCCCAAAAGACCGCCTCGACCGGCCCTCCTCCGCCAGACCCCAACGTCCCCGCACGCGGGGCAGCGGCGCCGAAAAAATCCGGCACCTTCGCCATGCGCGCATCGGTCGTGAAAGCCACCATGTCGGAGTCCACCCCTTCCCGGTTGCGCGGGGCCGTGTTCCGCTCGTTGGGCGGCAGGGTGCCGAACATGCCTCGGAAGACGCAGGTTCGTGCGCGGGGGACGTATGTCTGTGCAGGCGGCGAAGGCGGCGAAGGCGACGAGGGTAAAGGCAAAGGGTGCAGCGTGGCGAGGGTGAATTCCATTGGTTCTGCGCCGTTGTTCGACGTGGTGTTGACATGGTCGAGGAAGAGGGCGCGCCAGGGCGCCGGCGGGGCCGTGGATGTCATCGTTTTGTGGCGACGGTCAATATGGAATGTGAGGCTCTTGGGTGAGAGTCGTCTCATCTGAAGTGAAGGGTTAGGGTGATGTTGGAAGACGCGGGGAAATAACGACGGCTTGAAGAGTGTCCCCAATAATACCTGGAAATTAAAGGGTAGAACCTCGGAACCCCGCCATTGGATACCTTAGGTACCTTATCCACGTCATTTGAGATGTATCACTGGCATCATTTATCGACAGCACTTGAATACCTGATTCATTCACTTCAAAGATATGAGATTGGTAATCCCTGAGAAGAAATCAACATTCCATCAAATGACTACACGGATGTAATGTGCTGCTCATACTGACGAGACACAACCGGCGCATGACCTCGTTGTGTTCCGGCTCTATTACAAAAGGAATCCCAGCCTCGCCTTATACAGCGAGATGGGAGAAGGGGAACCTGTCAATGTACAACGAGCTTAGCAGCTTGCCCTCCGGGCAAGGCCGCTACGCTCGCCCCTGCGGGGGCTTATCCCGCTGCGCGGGGGGGGGGCCATGGGGGGGCGGGATTGATCGCAGTCAGAACGTCTAATCTACAGTGATCCGCACGGAATAAGTACCTAGCGAAAGCCTATATATTACTGAAGTAACCTGATCTTACGCGTTATAGCAATACATACTATAGGATAATATCGACCGTAAAACGTAGCCAAAACGCAATAAAAAAAGTCGTAAAACAGGTCCGGGCGTAAGTATAGGAACAAAAACGCAGGCTACCTTATAAAAAGTGGCGAGAAAAACAGGTGGGCTAGCTTTAGTATATATACTCAGGTACCTTAAGATAGTAGATACTACCTAGATATAGTCTGTATGCGTGACCAGGGGAGAATCGGCCATATATACCCCAATTTTCCATGTCGTCCAAGTCCAAGCCAAGAAGAAGGGAAAAAGGAAAAGAAAATATAATACAAAAGATCGCCAGCTATATATCCCTCACATCCACACTCCGTAAATTAATCAGTTCTCACCGACATCCCTCTCTACGGCCGCGGGCTCCAAACACCTCCAGGTACATACCGAAACCCGTTGGAGATGACCGCGTCGGGCAACTCAGCCGCCGCGCCATGATGGGTTGTATCAGCGTAGGCCGGGGGTAGCCCATCGTCGCTGGTATACCCCGGCAGCGAGCTCGCGGGGCTCAACGGCCGGCTCCACCCGTTCCGCGATTGTGCATCTTGCTGCTCTCGCTCCCGTTCGCGCATTCGCATCATCCCTTCCCCCGCCGCCACCATGTTGCTCACCACCACCGTCACCGCCCGGAACCGCGCCAGGTCCACCTCCATCGTCGTGCTCATGTCCGACACGCTGCTCTCGCTCCCACTTTCACTCGCTCCGTCATCGCTCTCGGGCAGACTGTGGCCCTTCTCGTCGTCGGCGTCATCCTCCCCCTCCTCGTACGAATCTCTGCCCGACTCGGACCCTTCCGTACCCACCAGCGTAATGCTTTCGCTATCCCGTATGCTTCGCGGGCGGTCAAGCACATGACGGTGGTCCTCCTCCTCCTCCTCCTCGTCCACGCCGCTGCCTACGGAAAAAAGCTCCGCGGGAGGGGCGTTGACCTGGTTGAACTGGCCAGGGCGACTGATCGGCACCCAGCGCCAGGTCGGCGCGCCGGGCACGTGACCGTCCTCGAGCACCCGCTGTCTCTCCGCTTCTTTCTCTTCGTCTTCGAGGCCGGCGCGGCAGAAGACGCGGCGGAAAAAGCGGCGTACGGAGGCCTTTACGGCAGCCCGACGTTCCGCCGCACGAGCACACCTCGCGGCACGTCGTCGGCGGCGCTCTTCGCGGCGGGTTTGGTTGCACCACGGCTCAAGGGAGGCGCGGCGAGCGTTCCAACGGACGCAGCAGCAGTGGAGCATGGATATGAGACCGATGACAGCGATGATGGGGATGAGATAGGGTAGTAGATTATCGCCGTCGTCCTTGAACACACACAGCCCGAGTCAGCATACCCATGCCATGAGCAAGCAGGGGATTCAAGAAGGGCGAAACTGAAGATCAATGAACCAGGGAACTCACGTCTGAAGAGGATGAAAGAGCAATTGCTTCGGCGCCGGAAGACGACGAGGAGGAACCTGGTGATGATGCGGACGCTCCGACCAGCGGTTGCTCGTGGGTTGGCTTGGGTCTCTGGATGGTAGCGGTCGAGCTACTGCCAGGGCTCTCAGTTTGGTCGGACTCATCCCACGAGAAGAGCCCACACTTCCGGGCCCTCTCCTCGCCGAAGACCTGAAAGACGACCTTCTTCAGCCGGTCAGCGACCCCCTGGACGGCGCAATGCAATGGCCCGAGTTGGCAGCCGCCTTGCTCGTCCGTCTTGGAGGTATCGAGACCGTACGCATTCGCGATGAACCGCTGCTTACGGTCGACAGCCGTCTTGGCGTGCTCTAGCTGCTGGCGCAACTCCTCGAGCCCGATAAGGTTAGCCACCAGGGACATCTCCTCCTCCGCGCCCAAGTGGGAGGAGAAATCGGCCTCGGCCACGACGGTTACGGGGCCGGTGATGGAGAGAATCTCGAGGTCGGTCTGCCTGAACCGTACGAAAAAGGTGAGGCCCCAAACCTCGTGAGTACTGGCGGCACGACCGTCGACTTGGCGGATAGTGAACACCAAGAGCTGGGAATCCCTGCCAGCCGAATCCCTGCCGGCCGAATCCCAGTCGATGGGGTCAATGTCGAAGGTGTCTTCCAAGCAACTGACGGACCATATTGCTTCGATGGTAGAGATGTGGGATCCCCCACGATAAACACTAAGGTCTAGGTCGTGGAAGACCAAGTCGCCGTCAAAGGAGTCGACGGAGGAGGAGGAGAGGACTTGGCCATTCACGGTGATGTCGGGGGTGCCGCATGGTGTGTCGACGTTTCCGATTTTGAGGTGGAGGTACTACGAGTGCGCCCAGTAAGCCAAGGTGAGCAACAAGAACGGGAATCCTTCGAGACTGTAGGGGGGAAAGCAGAAGGAGGGAGCGGGTTTGCCTACGTGAGGTTCAGTACGGCCGAAGCCATCGAGGGCAGGAACATCGAAAGATAGGAGGGCATCCGTGGCTCGAGGAGATGCTGGGGCTACTGCATGTTCCACAAGGCGAGGCCCGTCGATTAGCTCTAGATGAACTCCAAATGACAACTTTGCAATGTCCTTCAGGATCGAACCTGTTTGGGCACTGACAATCAAGGGAGAAGAAGCTCACCCCGTGGTACTTTGACGGGAGTGTCGACGGCTAGGGCAGCGACCAGCGGCAGTGTCCAGAGAGGCACAAGAAGAGCCCGAAGCGCGAGAGGCCCGCGCATGACGGCGGTCACGGGCTGATATGAGCTCGGTCGTTCAATGGGAGGGAGAATCTACGGCCGCGGGAGAGAGATGCCCTTCAACCCGAGATGGTTCATGGGCGTTGCAGTACACAGAACCCGAACTTCCCGGAGGCGACAACGCCTGACGATGACGACGAGGAAGCAGAAGAGTCAAATGCAATTTGCAATTTGTTCGCTGCCGCCGTCCAGAAGTCAAGACGGCGCAAAATAGATGATACGCTCGATGACTTGTGCGGGTAGGTTGATGAGCAACGGACTGTGGGAGGGAAGGGATGAATGAATGAATGGATGAATGGATGGATGGGAGGGATGAATGAATGAATGGATGAATGGATGGATGGGATGGATGGATGAATGGCGGGGAATGAGGGTGAGACCGTGAATGGACACCGAGATGCGAAGGAGGGGGCTGAGCAACAGAACTAACAGTGTGTTACGAAGTACTTCGTACTTCGCACGTGTACCTGACAATAATACCTAAGGTACGTACCTAAACAGGAGGAAGAGGCTGTGCACCGAGGGTCGTGTACTTGAACAGTACTTTATTCGACGGGTATTCAGACGAAGCGAATATGGTACCTAATCAGCATCTATCTGGATACCAACCAAACCGATACCCCGGTCGAAACATGGGAATATCTTGGTGACTACGTCGAGCACTAGCCCTGTACGGAGTCCCTATGAACCACCGCACGGTAAACTCCCTGTCGAAATCTCTACCGGCGAGATAACGCTGGAATGGAATATCCCGCCAACCAAATGTTTGTCCCTCCCGTAACCGAGTAATGCCCTGTGCGGCGTACCCCTACGGCTTACCGTAGGTACCTAAACCCCCAAATCCTTGATAAGGTATCTGGTATCTAAGGTACCGTAATCTCCACTGTGACCTCCAGCCATTGACAACTTCGTTAATTCGGCTGCCTGGCCGGGCCCCATCTGCGGAATGTAAGTGAGGTCCAAATGGGTGAAAATGCAGGAACCGCCGTCAACATCATCTCTTCGTCCTATGTCCCACGGTATTGTAACCAGTATAAGGCCCGTCAGCCCAACATCATCTCTCATGTGTCAATTGACTGACCTCCGTACATTGTACTCCTACCGATAACCCCGAGTGGCATCGGGGTTTGGCTTGATCTCCTTAAGAACCTGGAACGATTCTCCTCCGGTTGTCTGGATGGTCTTGTTGCGCATAAGGTGCGAGTCATCACGGAGTAATCAATTAACCAGTATTTCCTGAAGCCATCTGCCGGCCCGACATTCTTCTAAGCCGCAACATCCTACATCTTGCAAGGTCCCAAATCCATGTCGAAAGCCCTCCAAAATTTCATGAGCCCTACGCTCTGATAACGCCAAATGCGAAGCAAGAAACCTGTGAGCCCGTAATTCCCATTCACTTACAGAAACTCCCGCAGCACTTGCACCCGTGACCGCGCCACATCGGAACCTTGTTCCCCCTCTCCCATGATTTGCATAATCTCAATCATTCGAGCTGCCCGTCAAAACGTCAGCACAACACGACACGACACAAAGAAGAGAAGATACAAAGGTTCGTATGAGGCGGGGGGACTACTCTACTCACTGATATCGGCCCTCGCCCGCACAAACAACGGATCCTTCGCCAGCAGCGCCTCCCCTCCCGACTCTTTCGCCGCCTCGCGGAGTATGCTCCCGATGCACAGCGCCTCGAGGAACGCGCGGTGGTTGAACACCCACCACACGCGCGCCTCGTGCTCGAACGCCTTGAACAGCACGAAGAAGCTGGTGATGGCGTCGTGCGCCGCGTCCAGCGCCCCGCGCACGTTGACCGGCGCCTCGGGGCTCTCCGACGCGTGCACCAGCATCAGGTTATGGTAGTAGTTGCTCGACAGGAACAGCGCCTGCCGCACCACCCGCTTGCTGCTGCCGTCAGCCGACCGCGCCAGCGCCGTCAGGCTGTTGGCGTCCCACGACCGGAACACGTCCGGGAACGACCGGTACACCGCCCGGAAGTCCGCCACCAGCCGCGACTTGTGCCGCGCCGTCGTGCAGATCGGCAGGTCCAGCGACCGCGGCGAGCAGATGGTCTCCTGCACGAGGTTCGCCAGCGTCCACGAGCCCCGGATGTACGCCAGGTCCGTCGGGTCGCTGGCCGCGATCGCCGACCCGTCGTCCTGCAGGTCCTCCACCGACACGTCCGTGTGGGTCGCGGACGGCGGCAGCGACAGGAGGACGGTCAGGAACGTGTCCTGTAGCAGGACCGCCTGCCACAATTTTCGCCGCTGTTGTTTTTCAAACGGGCTCGCATCTGGCGTGACTATTTTTTGGGGGGGTTTTGTTTCATTTTATTTGATTATCAGCAACCGTCCCCCAGTCATGCGGCCAGCAAAAAAAAAAAAAAAAAAAAAAAAAACCCAGCAAGCGAACGGGCAAGCTTACCAATGTTCGGATCCCTGTGCAAGCCCATAGCATGTGCTTGCCGGATAAGTATACCGGAGAAGGCCCAGCCGTCCGATGCATGATTGTCGTTGATGAGAAAGTAGGTTATTCTATGGCAGAAGTCAGTATGCTAAGAGGGGAGAGAGACGAGAGACGAGGGACGAGGGACGAGGGACGAGGGACGGATTGACCAAGGCCGGTAAAGGTGCCCATGGCTGGCACTTACAGAACCATCGCCTGTATGGATCGTATCGACGCGGTACTGAGGTACGAGAATATCCGCAGAGCCTGGTTACTCGCCGAAGCGTAAAACTCGGCCGTCTGCTTCCCCTGCTGCGGCGACGTGGACGTGACAAACTGCGTGCCAAGAGCCAGCATGGTGAAGATGAGGCCCACAAAGTCGGGGTCGGCCCGGTTCTTCTCCTCGGGCGGCAGGCTCCAGAAATGCTCGTAGTCGGCGTAGAAGGTCTGGCGGTGGATCATGGGGTAGACCGGGTCGACCACCTCGAAGTAGTGCGATATGAGGATGTCGGCCTGGATCTTCTCCGGCAGCACCGAGATGACCTCGGACAGGCCGCCCTCGAAGGTCCAGTAGTTGGCGAAGGGGTGCTCGGAGCCGATGCCGAAGACGTTGCTCGCGCCCGGCTGCGAGTAGGGGACGTTGGACAGGAGGCAGGTCGAGAGTCCGCGCGAGGTAAAGCTACGGCCGTCGATGGCGCCCCTGTCGGCTACGTTGGGGACGTTGAATGCCGGTCGGTCTAGGCCCCTCTTTTTAGGGGGTTTGGTCATGCGGCGTCCGCTGACCGCCGTACGGTTCGTCTCCCTGGTACCCCGGTTAACGGGAAGGCGGGGAAGAGATGGGAAGAGATGGGAAGAAGAGACTCACTCGAGTAAGTTGGCCACGGCTGCATATCTACATTCCGTCTGTCGCTTAATACAGGCCAGGCAATGCGGTCTTCCTCTGTCGCACTAAGGGATGATCGATGCCAGTCAGCCATGAGGGGTCCAAGGAGATGGAGGATTTCAGGAGGCAATCTCATGGAGCATAGACAAGGATGAAACGGGACGGGACGAGATGAGAACATGGCATACTTTGGTCTTCCTATCAACACATGCTTGACAGCTCAGGGTGGGCTTGTTCCGCTTCTGCTTCTTCCTGGGCGGGTGTTGATTCTGCTGCCCATCGACGGGACTGGCATGGCTTGCATAACTTGCATAACTTGCACGGCTGCCATGGGTCTCCGGGCTCGTAGCTGGATCTTCATCCTTGGCATGGCCGTAGGCATTGTGCCCGTCGAATCCCAGGGGAGTGGCTCCATGGCCGTTCGTACGGCGGAGATATGCCGTGCTATTCAGGTTCTGCGGCTGCGGCTGCGGCTGAGGTTGCGGCTGTGGTTGTGGTTGTGGTTCTGGTTGTGGTTGTGGCTGATATCTCCCAAATACTGGGCCCGGTGAGTGGTAGATGTTCGAAGCGGATATCGATGAGACCGATGTCGGTGTCGGGGCTGGATTGGGTTTGGGTGTGAAAGTGCGAGGGTCGGAGTGGTTCGTCATGACGGATGACGCTACGGGTTGTGACGTCTTCCGTTTTATATTTCCTTTCCCTTTTTTTCTTCTTCTCTTTTTCTTCTCTCTTTTGGCCTTTTTGCTCTTTTTGGGCCCTTTCTTCCTCGTTCTATTGGCGGGTCGGGCCAGGACTCCGATCCGAGGCGTGCTAACAAGCAATTTTGCCTTCGCTACACTCGTTGGGATTCGTTCTCACAATGACCCGCACCCTCGGAAATACTCCGCAAAAGACGGGCGATGAGATTCCGCGGGGGCCGTTCCACGACCGAGCGTGTCCCCCGGGTTGAGACAGTGACCGGGGCTGTGCCGGTATTCCGTATCCCGATACGGGCAGGTATCGGGCTTTGTTTGGGGGGTGGATATTCCGGGAATAAGAGAGCGGACGCCTGTGGTGCGCCGTAATATTTCGGTGTTCTGATGCCCTTGCTACGGTGTTGGGTGCGGCATTGTTACTGGGAATAAACGGGTGATGGATGAAGCGGGAGTGGTGGATTTATGAGGGGGAGAAGATGGGAATAACGGATAAAAGGGGAAAATAAAAAAAATTATAAAAGCAGAGAAATGAGCTTGACAGATGTAGGTACCTCCCTAATAGCAACTGACGACAGGGGGGGGTGGAAAGGTTAGAACACTAACAACGTATAGCGTCGGTAAGCGTTGTGGGGTCCTGGTTTAGCTTCCATCGACGTCGCTAGGTACCTATGAGAGACGTTTCAACTGCCTGGGAATACCTTGATGTTTGTGTCTGAATGCAAAGCAGAATCGAGACAGCCCGTGTAAGTGATATGGTCACGGGCCCGAGCAGGTTCATTGGATACATGCAACTACATGTAGCTTTCTAGAAATACTCGGTAATACTGAATAATTCCTACCTTATTATTCCGTACGGAGTAAGGTAGCTAAGGTAGCTGAGGTAGGTACCTGTAGTTTACGCCATAATGACCGGATGCAGCGGACGCTACTCAACGGCCATTAAATCCGCTTACCAAATGTATAGTTTTTCTTTTTCCTTTTATTTTTGAATCTACCAACCTCAGTATGCCATCTCTATCAACCTTCTACTACCGCTAATCGCTTTTGCCCGGAATGTGATGCGGTGTCATCATGGATGGTTTGTCCGCTAGGGGTGTCTCCGTGCCTCTAGGAGTCTAGCTCACTGCTCCGCCGGCACCCGATCTTAGCATTGCCTTTCCATGTCCAATCACCCAAATATGAATGCATGGTAGTTCTCTGAGATCTTCCTCACACCCTCCTCAAGTCCCCAGCCCTTTACTTCGCACACCCTGCGGTACATCGACTCCAGCGCGGCGTCCATCTCCTCACCGGCAACATGTAAGTCGCTCTCCACCAGCACACCATCGTCCGGGCACGTCCGCAGCACGTCCTCGAACTTCTGCAGTCCGCCCGCGGTCCCGAGGTTAATAGCCGCGGAGAAGGAGACAAACATGCGTGCCGGGATAGCCGGGTTTAGGTACTGCTTCAACATCTCCGCCGGCCCCGAAAACGAGTGCAGACATATCCTAGGCGGGTATGGTGCTCCCTGGCCATGTTCCTTCCCGCTCCTGTCCTCTTCCCGCTTCGGCTGTTTCCTGCCACTTGTTGTATGCCTCGCTCCCTCGCCCTCGTCTTCAGAAGCAGATGAGGACGACGACGACGACGACGACGACGACGACGACGAAAAGTCCTCCGCCCCCGGCGCGATCTGTCTCCTCTCCTTCCGACTGAGCACTTCCCGCTCGTGGCCCTTCCAGCACGACGCCAGCGCGTCGTAGAGAACCCCGTGCGCCTGCACGCCGTGCACGCTAACGGCCCGACCGAGCTCTCCGGCCAGTCGCAGCTGGGCTTTGAGCACCGCGATTTGGTGGTCCATGCGCACGCGCTGCGGGCTGAGGAGACGTCCGTCGCGGCCTCCCGGGGTCTTTCCGTCGGTGGCTTGGGCGGGTTGGCCGTCGGGGAAAGGTTGGGGTAGGCGGAAGGCTTTATCCAGGCCGATCTCGCCGATCAGAGCCAGTGGACTGTCCAGAAGGCGCTTTCGGGTGGCATCTGTATAGGAAGAGATGGAAGCGGGTTCGGGGAGCGAGTCGAAAAAGGCGTCGTCGTCTGGGTTGGGCGCTGGGGTGAGCACGGCCGAGTAGTGGGCTCGCTTAGCAGAGCGGGCGTCTTCCTCGTTGCCGTCCGCCGGTGGGTGATATGTCTTTTCGGAATCCGGGATGGTGTCGTCGTAGAGCTGGTGAGAGAACCAGGGGTGCCAACCGAAGCAGGGGATGGCACGGGCCCGATTCCGGTCTTGGTTTCCAGACAAATCTTCCAAGAGGTCCTTTCGAGTGCGAACGGCGAGAGGCGAGGCGGCTACGTCGGCGACGAGAGACTGGTCCTGTGACCGAGTCGCCATGACGGTGAGGACGGCGGCATTCATGCCGGGGATGTCCTCCAGGGAGGCCATCGTGTCGGTGGGATGACAGTGAGCATCGTAGACTCCAAGTGACCAAGGGAAAGGATCTTTCGTTACGGGTCCGTCATGAGCATCGTCGTCTGTATTTTTGTTGGCTCGACCATCGTGTTGTTGACACATGGCTAAGGTAGAAGCGAAGCAGAATAACAAATGCAAGACTCCAGGTATCTGTTACCCCAAACCAGATCTTTTGGGTAGGCGAAATGGAAGAACGCAAGGAAATAAAAGCTCTGTTTTCCGTACTCGGTAGATAAGATGTATTCCGTATAGTGTGACATAAGCTCAATCGCGTTGATAATTCCTCGGGACTTTTCACACTGGACGACTCGATGTGATGTCAAGCCGACAACGAGATGAACAATGCCAATTAAAACCGCTGTACTTCCACACGTACTGTAACAATGCGTAATTGCTATCTAGGTACCTTATTATGGAGAAATTACCTTATCGTGGAGTTGCAACTTGTACGTAAGGCACTCACTCACTTACCCCGCATGACGACACTCTCGCCCTGCCCTGTACGTGTACGGTTCTGTGTAGGGTTTGGCAGCCAGGGACGAGTACCTATGAAACAAAATATATTAGACCGCAAAGTCCTTGGTCCAAAGGGTGACCGACCGGTACCCAAGGTAATCAAGGTACCTAAGGTACCTACGCAAGGTACCTTTTACCTATTAGGTACCTAGGTAGCCAGGCACAACCGCAGACATGTGACACTCGAACCCGCCCGACTACGAACTCCATCTCACAATGTCTCAAGTAGTAACCTGACACCATTCTCGCCCATCTCAATACAATAGCGATTCTTCTTCTGCACAACCTGGGCTTACCCCGTTTTCTTTTCCTCTCCATAACTGCCCCGCTTCCTTCGGATTCGCCCTGCAGCGTTTCAGGAGCATTCAGGAGCCTTTGAAAGTCTTATCACCACCTGGCTACCGTATCCGGGCCATCTTATGCGCCCACCCCGTCATTCACGGCAGGGAATATTCTAATGCTGCCGTCTCATACCGTGGTTTGGGAGAAATTACATCGACCTACTCGTCTCTCGGAATAGGATGCGGTCTGGATGAGTAGCCATTTGTTTGGCTGCGCGATCCGTACACTGCCGAGCTCAATCATGCTATCGAAGGCAAACAAAACCTCCAACTGAACAACCAACCGTCTACCTCTTTCCCTCACCAGAACATCGAACATCGTGCCCTGCCACTGCGGGTATCAACAGCCCCTCATGGCTCTTCTCAACGCCTCTTACATTGTCATCTTCCCTTTCCTCGTCTTCTTTACTGTTCCGCTAGCCATCCTCGCTGGCGTCACCACCACCCTCGCCTTCGCCATCCTCATTTTCCGCGTTCTCCTCGTCTACGTCCAACTTTTTATGTCTCTGCTGCCCTCGTGCCTCACCCAGGGCCATCGCAGCAGGCACGCGTCATATTACGGCTACGGCCCCGCATCGCTTTCCAAATCGCCCTCTTCCTCCCTAGCTTCCTCGTCGTCGGGCGAGTTGGCCGCCCCTACCTTCACGCCGCCGCTGCTCACCAACGCCTCTCGAAGCTTGAGCTTGAACCGCATCCCACAGCAGCAACGACGACCCCGCTCGCGCCGTCCGTCCTCGACTTCGGCCGCCGCGCGAGACGTCTCGGCTCCGCCGCTTGACAGCGAAGGAGGCAGCGGAAGCATGGGGCTCATCCCGAGCATCGGCATCGGTCGCGACTTTGAAGGCATCGGTGGCTGGCGGTTCGGCCACGACGACGATGCCGACGACGAGCGTTGGGCCACGATCAACTCGCGCCTTGAGTTCTTCGATCGGCTGCATCACGGGGCCAGGCATCATCAACGCGGCCCTTCCGCCGATGGCGGCCTCATGATGAAGGGGCGGCGTCGTACGCGCAGCAGGAGCCCTCAGGCTGTGATTAATAGCCACGGCGGCGTCAGCGGTGTGGCACACGTGTCGCCGAACAGTTCGAGGGTGAGGATGCCTGGCGTCTCGGGTGCTCTACTACCCGTTGCCAGGGCACCGAGGGAAGATGACGGCGAATATTTTCCTTTGGTAACTTCTATTTAATGGGTGGAGGAGTTGGCTTGCCTGGAAGCATTGGTGGCTTATTTCTGTGCTACTTGTCCTTTCGCATGTTTCCCGACTATTGAATAAACGGCCACAAAGGATGGATCGATCCAAAGGTTCTTATTTAGTGTATTGGAAGGATGAGGATGTCGTTGATTCCGTTGATTTCGTACTCTTCTAAACTCGAGAGATTTTTCGTCGGTAGCCCTGTCCGCACGTATGCCCATGTGATTAAACTTCCTTTTTTTCCTTCTACTCTTCTTAAAACAAAAGTCGTCGACTTGAGTCAAGTGGATTAACCCGACGGTGAATCCATAACGTGCCATTAGTATCAACCAACTCCAAAAACGCCAAATCGTCGCATCATGCTACCCGCCACCCCGAGCCCAATCACAACGTCTGCCAAAAATAATTGGCATAGAAAAACCGGCTAAACTTCTTATCCATATTCACGACATGGACGTCGCCCTTGCGATCATTCCGCACAATAGCACGCGAGAAGGCCTCGCCACTTCCGCCACTACCGCCAGCAGCACCGACGGACGAGCCGCGACTCCTCGTCGGCCTCTCGTCGCCTCGCTCCATCTCGATCCCCAGGCTCCGGTACACGGTGAGACGGAGCACAACCTCGTCCTCGAGCGGGTCACGGGCGCGGCGGCGCCGGGCCTCCTCGTCCGCCATGCCGTCGACGCCCTGGACCTCGAGCTCCTGCAGACGGGCCGTGAGGTCGGCGGCCTGCTGCGCGAGGCGCTCGGCTTCGACCTCGGCGTCCGAGGCGGTTTTCGCGGTGCGGAACTTTTTGGTGTCGAGGCGGGCGATCTCTGATGCGTGCTTTGTTGATGAGTGTGAGGCTGTCAAGTCCGCGTGTTGGGAGGACATGGTGTTAAGGGTGCGGGAGAGTTCTGTGGATAAAGTGGTTTGTTAGCCCGGTGTGCTTGAGACATATATGTTGATTCATCTTCTTGTCTTTTTTTTTTTTTTTTTTTTGGGCCCATGAGATCGCAGTGACTCTGATTCTGGGTTTCTACTATTGAAACGGGGTGTGCGTGTTGCAGAGGTGGGAAATTGCCATACTCTTGAGGGCATTTTCGGCTTCACGGATCCGAATATCGCGGGCTTGTTGTAGATTAGAGAGAGATTCGGAAATACGCGCACAGGCCTGCTTGTCGGGCTGGATGTTGAAGTTGTTGATTGTATGGTGGATGAGCTGGACAGAGAACAGCGCGTGTCAGTCTAGGGTGCAATACTTGCGAAGGCTTGGGAGTGACAAACCGTGGAGGGGTCCTCGGAGAGAAGCATCTTGGGCGAGCTTTATCAATTAACTCTTTTGTCCAAGGGATATGGACTTTTTTTCAGAGCAGTTTGCTGTTGAGGATATCGTGGATTCTTTCGTGGCTTTGTGATAGGTATCGCGTGCATGTGATGTTGATGGAGAGACAGGGAGGTTTGGAGGCATGCCCCACTCGTCGCGGTCAGCTCCCAAACACACAGTACACACAGCATCACCGGGACAACCACGGCCCGCATCCCGCTTATCGTTCCTTATCAGGTTTTATCGGTTCTTATCGCTCTCCACAGCCCCGTGACGTCGTCATATCGTGGCGCATCGCCGAGGATCATCAGTCCTGGCTCCAGGTACCTTGCCTAGGTACCCGTAGCTTCTCCGGACCGAACAAGTTTGATTCCATGTTCTCCCAAGAGCACCACTCTGGTATTTGAATGTCTTCTTTGCTCCAAATTTGCGTCTGAAGAAGGGAGAAATTTAATACCTACGTCAAATCCAATTCGGCTACCATGCCATCCGAATTACCTTGTACGTTCCCCTCTTCCTTCCAACGAGTCATATGTGGCACCCCTCTGACCCCATCCGAGCAGACGCGATCGATGCCGAAACGTGAGCTCCCCCAGCGTGTACATAACCCGACAAGAAAAAAGGAAAAAACCCGAAATCGTGGTCTAACAACCTATGCTAGGCCTCTCAAGGCGTCGGAGCTGCAGGTTCTTCGGGCGCAGTATGAGAAGGAAGGCGACATGGTCGGCGTCCAAACCAAGTTCAACTACGCCTGGGTACGCTCCCGAACCCATTTTTAAACTCTCCCGACCTTCTGGAATTTGACAGGGGGGGGGAGGACGTGGGCTATACATTCTGCATCCTGAGGGTCTCGCTGACAGGAATGGCGATCTTCGCTTAGGGCCTCGTGAAATCCGACACCCGCCACGATCAACAACTCGGCGTCCGCCTGTTATCCGAAATCTTCCGCACGTCGCCCGATCGTCGCAGAGAGTGCCTCTACTACATGGCCCTGGGCAACTACAAGCTGGGGAACTACGCCGAGGCGCGACGATACAACGACCTGCTGCTGGATAAGGAGCCAGCCAACTTGCAGGCGGCCGACTTGCGACAACTCGTCGACGATAAGGTGGCCAAGGAAGGGCTTATGGGTGTCGCCATCGTCAGTGGAGTGGCAGTTGCTGCGGGTGTGGTTGGGGCCTTCTTGATGCGAAACGTCAGGAAGAGGTGACGTGGGCTTGTCTGGGATCGGGTGTGTCACTTGTGTACCTCTGAGAGGTGGCGAGATGTTATGAGGCGGCTCCCCCTTGCGTTGGAAGGCTTTATCGAACTGTGTACTTTTACGAAAGGATGCGATGGCTCTGGCTCTGTTGTTCTTATGCCAAAGTCACGCAGATCTAATGGACAGACTACTTGGATGTCTAACAATTTGCTATTATGAGGGTTGTCTACGAACAAACTGTGCGGGCGTCTAACGGTTCCTGTACTTAAACCATGGATAACTTCAGAGGGAGGTATAGTGATTTTTGGGCCCATAAGCTTCATGCTTTGCAGCGATGAGTTTCTCCCAAGTGTAACTTCTTGTGCCCATAGTATATGGCTCGGAATTGAGCGGAGTGGCTAGACTCTCTGTGACTGCATGGCCAGCAATACGAAGTAGTTTCACGGCTTTGGCGCAAATGAAAGTCTTTGACTGATTGTGGTAGAAGCAAACGTTGACGTTTGACGAAAGAAGTCGATGGAATTCGGTGGAGCTACACGTCTACCTGAAAGCTATGAATGGACCGGACGTTGGCTCCACAGTGACTCAGCAGATCCACGTCGACGTGAAGTGAATGGGGGGAACGTCACTTTTACTCCGTACACCGGCAATAGCATCAAGCTTGCCCCTCAAGGATATCGGTGTTCCTGCCTTAAACTAGAGCTTCCTTACAAATCCATCTGCGCTTTTCCCTATCTTGCCTTCTGAATCTCTGAACCTCACCATCGTTTCTATCCTAATTAATTCTACGACGGAACTCGACGACCTAGCCAATTCGGCCAACCTGAATCACATCACCTCCGTCGTGACCTTCAACCTACCTATTTCGAGACATCTTATTTGTTTTCTTCACCTCGGTGCTCGCTCTCTTTATCGCGTGCACAGTCTCGGAATCGTGATTCAATATCGATTTCCAATATAGTGACTATTTCCGAAAAGCAACGAAATCGAGAGGTAAAAAGTCACCAAATTGGCTGGGGAAGACAAGGCACCAATCTCGACTCAACCTGCCACACCTCGTTACACAATCATCGGCTTTGAGCAGGGCTGACCAGGAACTTCTGACATCTAGGCTCGACCTCTGATGCAACCCCTCCTTTCGTACGCTGGTTGCTGATAAGTCATTGTCCAACTGGCCTACTGAGCAACCCGCGTCATCTTGCTCCCAACTCGCCACCATATCCTGCTCTCCTGGTGATCGTCAGGCTGAGTGCAGGTACAAACCTCCTCTCTCCGAACTAGCCAAAGCCGAACCTCCTTGCGTTGCCTCGCGTCGAAACGAGCTTTTGCACTGCCACTACCTACGTCTTAAGGCGCCACCGGGCACGCTCGCCACTTCTTTTCGCCGTACAATCCAGCACTTGGCACCTAGCACCCACTACACTCCGCTCTTCCAGCCCTCCAACCCTTTAGTTCTCGACCGAGAGCGGCCTATTGCCACTGTTGCGTGGTCGTCAAACTGGCTTTCCGAGCGCTTCAGACCGTAAGCCTGCTCGCAGGCCTTGGACTTACTGCCGCCGCCGCTCTGCGGCGTGCCCAAGAGGGGGCCGAGATGGCTTCCCATAGCGCTAGCAGTGGCCCTGCCGATGCCGCAATCAGCGGCCGCGAGAGGGTCTTCTGCCACAACTGCGAGAATGAATGGTTCCGGGATGTCAGCGGCCTCATATGTCCTCGGTGCGATAGCGACATAACCGAGATTGTGAGTCTCCCTTTTTTTTAAGTCTCCGAGCGGCTTAAAGCTGACAAAATTTTGCTTAGATTGACCCCGAAAATGACCCCCGCCAGTTCCACGATGGACAGTCTCTTTCGTCGGGTGATGGGATGCCGCACCTCCGCCGAGCCGCCGACACCGACTCAGACCCGGAGGAGGCCGATATAGAGGAACATGTCCATCACGGGCCCCCTGGATTTCACGTCCATCGCACCATCTGGAATCACGGCGGACGCGGTGGGGACCCCCATGGCCGCAGCTCCAGCTCGAACACGAGAGATCGCAGCCAACCGCCCGACCCCAGCGACACGGACCAAATTATGTTTCGGTTCTTCGACATGCTCAACACGTTTGGCGCTGGGCTCGGGTCCGGGCCGGCGCCTCGGCCTGCACAAGAGGACGACCCCTATACACCCAGGCGTAATTTCCGCATGCCCGGTCCGACGTTCGGCAGCCCTGGAGGCCAGGTGAGGACGTTCACAACGAGATCGGGCAACGGTGGGTTTACGAGCTTCACCATCGCCACGGGACCCGTGCATATCGGTGGTGGCGGTCGTCGTGCCGCCGGTGAATCGGGGAATGATGAGTTTCAAGCGTACGTTGCATCCCACTGTTCCTTTTTTTTTTTTTTTTTTTTACTTCACCCTGATGCAATTGCTAACTTGGTGTGCAGCGTCTTCGGTGACATCCTGGGCGGAGTGGGTCCTCCGAACCCCGAAGGCAACAACCAGCCTGGGTCGGAACAGGGGCAGCCCCGGAACCCGGCCGAAAACTTGGCGATCAGCCTTCATCAGATCCTGAACCTCCTATCTCCGGCAACGGCTCGTCATGGTGATGCTGTGTATACGCAGGAAGCGCTCGACCGCATCATCTCGCAAATGATGGAACAAAACCCTCAGTCGAACGCGGCACCGCCGGCTTCGGAAGCAGCCATCAGCAAGTTGGAGCGGAAGAAGGTGGACGATGCACTGTTGGGGCCCGAGGGCAAGGCCGAATGTACCATCTGCATCGACGAACTGAATAAAGGGGACGAGGTTGTGTTCCTCCCGTGCAAGCACTGGTTCCACGAGACATGCGTGGTCATGTGGCTTAAGGAGCACAACACTTGCCCGATATGCCGTTCTCCGATTGAAGAGAGCAATAATAACAACAACAACAACAACAACAACAACAACAACAACAACAACAACAACAACAACAACAATAACAACAACAACAGGAACAACGGCAGTTCTGGCGACTCTGCCGCCGGGCCGTCCAACTCGGGGACCGGCCCTCCCCCACCTGGCGGGGCTGGCGGGTGGAACGGCATGCCTTGGGGATTTCCGTCAGCTGGAGCAGGCCCGGCCCCGCAACCGTCCAGTCGAATGCAAGGGCCGCACGTATACCGGTGGTCTTTCCAGTTCCCGCCGAGGTCTACTCCGGACGGTCCTGAGGCGAACCCGTGGTCAGCAAGCCAGCGGCACATGTCTCGAGACTCGGGCCCCAGAGCCAACCCCGAGACGTCACGCAGCCGGCGGAACTCGATGTCGCCGCCTTACGAATCGCCACCCAACCGAGCGCGGCAGCGTAGTCCGACGCCGAGCAGCTGGAGGCGGGAAGGGGCGCAGACGACGGGACGCTCGCAGAACCAGAGCCAGGGCCCGTTGGGCTGGATCAGGAACCGGTTTTCACGGGCATCGGGGTCTGGAGATGGGGATGCGACGGAGCGGAGATGACGGTGATGGGCACAGCACATTCTTGCGTCGGGGCTTTCACGTCGGGGGTTTTCCGAACAGCGCCCTGAACAGGTGAATAGGTCAACCACAGCACGTAGCAAAATGTGTCAAGGACAAACGCGTTTGTTGGATTGCGGGCATGTTAACTTGGGTATAGCTTGAAGACAACTTGAGAATAGACTTTTTGGCAGACAAGACGAGCAAGGCAGGATGACGGGAGGCCAGCGTTTTGTTTGTTTGCAGACAGGTATATTGAATAGACGGTAGTTTTTACGGTTACGTAACGGGTGTTGAATGGACCAAGTTACGCTGTATCTGATATATTGAGTTGTACTTTAATTCAAGTATCGTAGTTACTTCCTGAGCTAATAACAGGGCTGAGAAGGAACGATAAGAGTAAACGATAAGAGTATCCGGGATACCTAGTCCGGTATCCGTAGTCCGCACGATGTACGAAGAGGTACTTCGCAGTACGTACAAAGGTACCTTAATACAGCGTACCTTACGTGTACAAGAACGCACTTCTTCTTCAGCCTATCATGGGTCGATCACCGCTTTATCGTCCCGTCGCCCCCAACGTTCGTCCAGGCCTCAACCTCGTCTCCCACTCCCCTTATCTCACTAATAAATTCTCTTTTTTTTTCTGGGGTTTTTATTTGTTCCCAGACCCCTCAGATACTCGATACCGGTGCCGAGAAATACGAACAAGGAACAGAAGAACCAAACGGCGCTGCAGACACCAGTCCCCGCGGCGTTAATGGGATCCGGAGAGGAGTAGCCTGCTGCCTCATGGCCTTGGCTCTCAGCCTCCCTCCAGGTTCCTAATATATCTCACCCCCCGTTTCAATGATGACACACCTATACGAGGAGGAAAGGCGACGACGACGAATATCGACTCAGTAGATGTTGACACAAGCAACGGACGGACCCTCGCCATTATCGACATCCCGCTCTGAGCTCTGAGCTCTGAGCTCTGATTATCTCCCTTATCCTCATCCTCATTCTCAACCTCGTCCTCGACCAATCACAAATCCAGATCTCACCGCTCGATTGTCACTTTGCTCACCCAGTCTGCCGTTATTGGTATTCTTGCTTATCAGCTGACTGCACTCACTGCGCGCTCTTCCGCTCCTCACGTTTCTCTCAGATCCACGGATCCGCTGCGGCCGTGACAACCACCTACCTAAGTGACGCCGCGACAACTCTATCTATCCTCAAGAAGAGAGACCTGAGCTACTCTTTTCGGCGCCACCGGGAATTCTATCACTCGGAAAAGTGCGCCCCGCCCATCTGTGGCCTGCCATGGATATGGATGCTTCGCAGGACAATCTCCATCTCGATCTCGATCTCAATCTCGATCTCGGCCCGGCTGGGCCCGAACCCTCCGACACAGGGGGTTCCTTTGGCACCAATCCGGCCGAGGGAGAAAACGAGCCAGCAGTTCCCGCTCCTCCGGCTCCTCCCGCTCCTCCGGCACCGTCCCCGACGTCCGCAACTGCCACACCAGGCCCCAGGAAAAAGAAACCTACTCGAGGCGGTACCGACCAGGCTTCGAAACAGGCCTCGAAGAAGCGTCGATGTGTCACCAACGCCTGCATAGCCTGTCGCAGGCGCAAATCGAAGTGCGACGGCGCCCTACCTAGCTGCGCCGCTTGCGCCAGCGTCTACGGCACCGAGTGTGTCTACGATCCCAACTCGGATCATCGCCGCAAGGGCATCTACCGGGACAAGGTCGACAGCATGAAAGCAGGCACCTCCACCTTGAAGATTCTCGTCGAGGCCATACTGAACGCCGACGAGGACGACGTGCCCGACATCGTCCAACGCATGCGTACCTGCGACAGCCTCGACGCTGTCGCCGAACAGATTCTCAGAAACGAGATGGAAGCGGAAGCGGAAGCCGCCGCTGACGCTGACGCCATGGACGAGGACGCGTCCTTGCAAGACGGCGGTGCCGCTGGCAGTCCTGCTGTCGAGGGCGAACGCGATCTCGCCAGGAGGATGGGCGAGCTCCGGCTCGAGAAGGGCGCCTTCCGCTTCTACGGCGGCACCTCTCACCTCGTCTACCTCGGAGAGCCCATCGAACCCTCCCCCTCCCTGTCTGCCCACGGGCATCACGATGGGGGCGCCGAGTTGGATGACCTTGCCTTACGAGAAGGGGAGGACGACGACCCCGACCCCATCCTGACCTGGACCACCGTCACCAAGGACAAGGCGCTCATCAACCACCTCATGACCATGTATTTCACGTGGCACTACCCCTACTTCACCACCCTGTCGAGACACTTGTTCCAGCGGGACTACGCCAGAGGCCGCCACGCCCTGCCTGCCAAAGGCATAGGCTTCTGCTCGTCCCTGCTCGTCCACGCCATGCTTGCCCTGGGCTGCCACTTCACCGACGTGCCCGGCGCCTATGCCGTCCCCGGCGACAGCGGCACCAAGGGCGACCACTTCTTCGCCGAGGCCAAGCGCCTCATCTTCGACAACGGCGAGTACGAGAGGTCCAGGCTGACCACCGTGCAGGCCCTGGCCCTCATGTCGGTGCGCGAAGCCGGGTGCGGCCGGGAAGCCGCCGGCTGGGTGTACTCGGGCATGAGCTTCCGCATGGCCCAAGACATCGGGCTCCACTTCGACGACGCCCACACCCACGCCGCCGCCGCCGCCGCCACCACCACCACCACCAACACCACCAACACCTCCTCCTCCTCCACCACTTCCACTTCCTCCTCCGACCGGGAACACCTGGACGACGAGATGATCGACGCCCGCCGGATCACCTTTTGGGGTTGCTTCCTCTTCGACAAGTGCTGGTCCAACTACCTCGGCCGCCTGCCCCAGATCCCCAAGAACTCGTACAACGTGCCCAAGTACGACGTCTTCCCCACCGAGGACGCCGAGCCGTGGGCGCCCTACACCGACAACGGCGGCTTCGGCCAAGCCGCGGTCCAGCCGGCGAGGACCCGCGCCGTCGGCCTGCAGCTGTCCCGACTTTGCGAGATTAGCAGCGACCTCTTGCTCTTCTTCTATCACCCCAGCCATATCGGCCGGTCCAGCGGCAAGTCGGTCGAGCTGAAGAAGCTAAGTGAGCTCCACCGTCGGTTGGAAGAATGGCGCAAGGAACTGCCGAAGGAATTTGAGCCGAGAGAACGCCAGCTTCCGAATGTCATTCTAGTTCAGTACGTTTTTTTGTTCTCCCTCCCCTTCTTTTTCTTCTCGAAAAACTAACAATCCTCCAGCATGTTCTTCCACCTCCAATATATCCACCTCTTCCGCCCGTTTCTCAAGTACGCCCCACACGCCTCCCCCCTGCCCCCCCACGTCTCGCCGCGCCGCATCTGCACGGCCAACGCCGGCGCCATCTCGAAACTCATGCGCCTTTACAAGAGGTCGTGGGACTTACACCAGATCTGTAACATCGCTGTCTACATGATCCATTCGGCCTGTACCATCCACATGCTTAACCTGCCCGAGAAGACGGCCAAGCGCGACATCACCCACGGTGTGAAGCACCTCGAGCAGATGGCCGAGTACTGGCCCTCCGCCCGCCGAACGCTCAGCATCCTCAGCGTTCTCGCCCGCAAGTGGAACGTTGGCCTCCCCGAGGAAGCCGCGGCCACTCTCCAGCGCACCGACGAAACGTACGGCTGCTTCAACACGGCCGACGTCCCGAGCCCGAAGCCTCCGCTTACAGCCGGCGCGACGCCTTCGTCCGACCAGAACCAAGACCGCCGGGACGGCTCTCCGCAAGGAGGAGGAGTAGCAGTAGGAGACGGAGACGTGCTTGATCTCATCGCTGGGTATGAACAGACGCGACAACCGCGCTTCCCGCATAAACAACTGCACAGCCCGGCAACGACAGATATGCTGCTGGATGACAAACCCACTCTTGCATCATTCAACAATGTTCGTTTCCCGTTGTCGTCGACTTTGTCGCAGCAACAGCAGCAACATCAGCAACAGCAGCAGCAGCACCACCACCACCACCAATACCAACACCAGCACCAGCACCCACAGCAATATCAACATCCGCACCCTCATCACCACCACCGACAACCAGCGCAACCACTCAGCTCTGTCAGCGCTGCCCGCATCACCACCCATAACCTAACCGGCTGGCCCACCACGACCTACACCCAACAGCAGCAGTCACCAAACTACCACCCCTCGCATCATCATCACCACCGCCCCCAGCCCCCGTCGCTCGGGGGCCCTCCTCAAGGCGGCTTCAACCCGCTAAACCAAAGCCCCCTACGAAACATGACACCCCACCATACGCCACAGGCCGGCGTTCCCGTCCCGGCGACGAGGCCACTCAGCCTTGTCCCTCACCAACCACGACCGCCGACACAGGCCTTCCAACCGCTAGACCAGGACTGGTTCCTCAACGACGGGGCAAAGTGGCACCAGAACTTTGAGGCCTGGGAGGTCGGCGGCGGCGGTGGTGGTGGAGGTGGTGGAGGTGGAGGAGGAGGAGGAGGGATGCTCAGCGGCCCCGACGCGGAGCAGACGATGCAAGGTCAAAGTCAAGGTCACGGTCAAGGTCACGGTCAAGGTCACGGTCCAGGTCCAGGCCCAGGTCCAGGTCAGGTTCAGACCCCGCAACCCCCACAGCAGCAACAAGCGCAGAACATGTTCATGTTCCAGAGTGGAGCACAACCATCCGGGGATATGGACGGCGGGGGATCGGGAGACGTGACGGCCTCGAATGGTCACCGCGGCGGCGGGATGCCGCGACAGGGGTCTGAGGAGGATCGGGGTAGCAATGGGGGCTTTTTCGATTCGCTTGATTCCCTTGGTGCTGATGCTGCTTGGTTACCTTCCAGCCTGGACTGACCTGGGGGGGGTGGGGGGGAGGTGGACAGACGGAATTGTGTAAGACCGTGGACGTCTTGCACTACGACGCGTTTATGTATTCAGCTGATATCTATGTTGCTCGTGGATATATCTATGTTCCTTTGAAACCACGGCTTGCGATCTTCTTTAATGATATATCATGCTTTCCACCCCCCAGCTGCCGGGGTGTCTGTCCTATCTGGTCAGATCACTCGAGACTGCATCGCAGTTGGACGAACTGACATTTTGGAGACCCGAACGCCGAGCACGGCGCCCTTACCATTGTCCTTACCTCTGCCATGGAACGATGTTAATGATTAGAATCCATTCCGACTCATGGGTGAGTTTTTAATCTCATAGTATTCTCCCAAGTTACAAAAAAAAAAGAAAAATTGAAGAAGAAATAAATCAAATCGTCACGTATATACATGAAGGTATCATCGTAAAAAGATATGCCCGTTGCCCCCTTACCATACCCGATGTTGCCACACTCTCACTCCTCTCACGCCGCTCGATTTTTGGCTCTTAAATCGAAACAATAAACCCTCATCTTGCAACTCCTTCTCTTCCCCCCTCCGTGGGCTCCATCCCAACCCCCTTCCGATGTACTCCTCCTTTCCGATCAAAATCCATCGAAAATCCCAGCGCCATGACTGCAAGTCCCCGAAACTCCAAAGGAAACACACACACACACACACACATGTATATGTAATAATATAAGTGGTCTCCGCTCCTCCCCGGCCCCCAGGTCGAGTAATTAGCAGCAAGGGGGGGGGCGAGGGGTGGCGAAAGCCCGAGAATCGTAGGAATGGAGAGTTGCCAAAAAGCACTTCGCCACCATCGCCGGTTCAAACGGGGATGGTCCCAACAGCCTAGATAGTTTGACCTGGAAATTGTCCCTCGAAGCATTCCCCGAAACACCGATCCTGGCTAGAATAGGAGACCACAAGAGTCCCTCCTCTGCCTTGTCCCTAGGCGCCCACGCGTTCCATTGTTTCGTTCCCCATGTCTCGCAATGTCCTCGGGGAGAAGGGAAAATAAATAAAAGGACTCAAGAGTGGGGGAAGAAGAAGGCGAGAGAAAAGAAGATGGCAAAGGATTCCCAAGTCCCAGGTTGCAAATTCCCAAGAGGAAAAGAAAAAGTGGTATAATAAAGAAATCTTCGAACTGGCCGCACTTTTGTTTTTTTTTCTGTCATCCCGGTCCGTCTCCCAGGAGGCCGCGAAGAAGATCAAGAAACGCCCCTAGAATTCCCCTACTTCATGGTGATGGTGGCATGATCGATCGTCTGACGGGTCGCTGGTCGCTAAAACGTGGAAAACAAATAAAGCGAGACGGAAGATGAAAAGGGCGCTGAAAAAGAAGTAAAGGAACCAATCATTCCCTTGTGCAGGTGGTCAAAATCGTACAACTCGGCTTCGGGAGCCTGCATTAGTGAACCGATCATAAAGCCAGCCCGGTGCCGTCTCCCGTCCATCGATAGAGAGCGAGCAGCTCGCGTCGGCGCTGGTTCTGTTCGCGGAGGTCTTCGGGAACGCGGCCGCGCACCTGAGCAAGGGCGCTGCGCATCACTTTGCTGAAATTACGCTGTACGACAGAAACATCCGTTAGCAGAGAGGGATGGAGGGTGGATTCAGTAAGAACTACCTGATACTCCGTATTCAGCGTGACCACGCAAGCCTCGTGAGCCCGAATAATCGTCTCGCAAGCCTTGACAACAGCCGGGCTCGCCTCGAGCTGCAGCTTATCGGCAATGAGCAATAACAGGAACGAGCCCTGTAGCAGGTAAATGCCGAAGAAGAAGGGCATGAACTCGAGACCCGGATCGAACTCGAGAATGTTGCTGATAGCCTCGGCAGCCGACACGGCGTGGCCCGTCGCCGTGATGAAGCCCTGGCTCGAGATCCAGAGGTCGTTGTCGTCGATCAGATTAATGGGGTCCCACTTGCCCGCCAGCAAGATGTGGAGCACGTGCATCACATGCGTGCCGTAGGCCACGACTATCTTGGTCTGGATGTCCGATTCGGTCATGCGATTCGACGTGTTGGTATGTACCGAGTGCACCGACGGCGTGTTGGCGTCAACGGCCCCGGACTCGTTGCCGTCCGCCGCCGCCGCATGTTGATCGTTGTTGGCAGCCTGCTTGTCCCCGAGATGCAGCTGTTCGAACCGCTTCAGGCTCCTTTCGTAGGCGTCGAGGTGTCGCGTGATCTCGGCCGCTTGATCGTCAAACTCCTGCGCCGCGCGGAACCCGACACCGAACCGAGGATGGTTCCGTGCGTGATGTAGATCCACAATCTCGCCGAGAATCGTCATTAAGGGCAAGAAGTAGCCGAAGATGCCGTGTCCGGTACATTCGAAATGAGGACCACGCAGTCGCGTCTGTTGTTGCGTCTCGCCACTGTTCCCCCCGCCCAGACCGGCGCCGGCAGCACTGCCGCTGTAGTTGTTGAACTCACCGTTCTGCCACGCCGTATCATCCATGGGCTGCAGCAGGCCGGAGCACTCAATGTCAAGGAGGAAGAGAGGCCGGTTGTAGCAAAGGGCAAGGTGGCGGTCGACAATGTATGTGAGCCACCAGATGCGGCGACGCTCCTCGCGTTGCTCCTCTGTAATGACGCCCGGAGTGGTCGCGCCGGTGGTTAGGGGACCGTCGGGGTCGCCGCTGCTGCCGTCTGGGCCGTTGCACATGGACGCCGGAGACGGAGGCAGCTCCCGGCCCAGCTTCAACTCGCGAGCAAGCGACCAGGCCGCGTTCCACCACCGTATACTCGCCCCCTTGTACTCGCTTGCCGAAACGACGGTGGCCAGGTGAATGTAGGTGATGACGTCGTCGAGCTTGCCAGCAGCACCGAAAGCGCCAGATTCGCCCGAGAGGGCATCCATGCTCATCGACCCTGGCAGGGCGACACCGAGACCACCGAGGGCTACGCCGTCGACGACGGGGCTCGGCGCGGGGGATCCCTCGCCTGTCGGAGTGTGGATGAGAGGCTTGAGCAAGCCGACCGTAAGCTCCAGGAGCTTCTGGCAAATCTTGCCCCTTGCCGACGGCACGCTGGTGAGGAAGGGGGCGTCGCTGGTCTGGGCGGAGACCCAGAGCATGCTGGCCAAAAGCGCGGGTTGGCATTGCCTGGGCTTTGTCGGGTGGAGGAAAGACCGCTTTCGGAAAACGTAGCCCAGCACGTACGGCGACATGGGGTGCATCTGGGCAGAGGATGAGGATGCGAAGTAGAGGTCGATCAGGTCGCACGCGAGAGAGATGGGGATGATGTTTCCCAGGTGAGGGATCAGCGGTTCGAGAACTGGGTACCGCAGTTGCTGGCCACCGTAGCTGGTATGAGGCACGCGTTGCTGTTGCTGCTGCGGCTGCGGCTGCTGCTGCTGCTGCTGATACTGGGCCGTGGGCGAGGGCATATCCATCCATCCGGGGGAGGTCGGCTCGCCGGCCATGGGGTACGCGTTCAGCGGGCTGTTCATGCGGAACTGCGCGTTGCTCGGGAAGGCGCTGGGGCTTTGAGGCTGCATGGCATAAGGCAGGTCGGGATAGGCCGGCATGTTGCCCTGATTCGGGGCGTACGGTGCGTGAGCTGTCCCGTCCATCATGGGCGGTACCATGCCCTGCCGGTCGTAGCCTCCGGCCATGTTTCCGTAGCCGTTCAAGTCGAGAGACGAGGGCGGATTCTCCATGTGCTCCCGGTTGATGCCAGGTGGTCCGGACACGGACAGGTGTTGGTGTTGCTGGTGCACTTGTGGGTGCGGATTCATCTCACCCAACGCTTCGAGTGAGCCACTTGTCGGTTCCGGCCGCATCGCGTCCTCGCTGACATCCTCTGGTCCCTGTTCCTCCTTGGTCAAGATTTTCTGCGAGTCGTTGGGCACTGGTTGTCTGTTGTTCTTTTCTGTCCTGGCCGCATTCGCTGGTTCTGCTTGGTCAGATGTCTTCCCTTGCTCGTCGCTATCTGATTTACCGGCTGCTTGTGCCGCGGCTTGTTGCTGCGCGAGGTCCTTTCGTGACGCCTTGCCTCTCTTCTTCCTCTCTCGAATGTATTCGCAGGTCAAGCCAAATTCTGTCCAACTCGGTCAGCCCAATTCATTCCACATTCCGTTTTTTTTTTTCTTTCTTGTTTTTTTTTCTTGAATTTATTTCCCGAATTACAGGAAAATACTCACCTATACAATGGGCGCATGGATGCTGTCCGTCACACTTTGTCCTGAGTTGGTTGCACTGGTCGCAGGCACGGCTGATTCTCCTCCGAACGGGCCCCGAAGCACCCGACGTCCTGGTGCCCGGCACGTACGGATGGTGTCGGTGCTTGGGCTGCGACGGTCCTGGTGCGCCACGAGGCGCCATATGGGCATGTTGCACTCCTACATGCGGCTGCATGTGCTGGATGGGATAACCCTGTGGCATTTCGTGGATGCCAGCAGAATGAGGCGGGTTGTTGGGAACATGACCGTTGGAGAACAGAGTGGAGGAAGGGACGGTGTGATATGGTGAGAATCGATGCAACGGATTTGACAGCATCTTGTCTTTTCTGCTCAAGGGTGCATAAAGGGAGGGTGAGAGGGAAGGCGGGTTGAGTTATGTGTGGCGGATCGAGCGTGCGGACGTGCAAAGTCGAGTCTCTCAAGAGTAAATCATCGGCGAGTCGATCTAGCCGTCGGAGATGGCCAATATGGTGTAGCGGTCAACGGTTTAGGGGCCGTCGTTACGTGCTACAAGTTAAAAGAATTTCTTGGGATGGCCTCTTTGCAGACCTCCGGGTCGGCGGTATTTGCGTCCCTTGGGACGCCGCAGCCAAAGAACTGGGCTGATCGAGACGTTGGAGACAAGAGGCGGCAGACGGCAAACGAGAAACGAGAGCTGTTTGTTTCTCGGCACGAGATTTTCGCAGTTTTGTTTCCCTGGCCAAGGTTGAAGGAATGGAGAGACGGTAAAGGAGCGGCTTTTTTTCTTTCCGTTGCTGCTTTCTTCCTCGCTTTCCTTCGGACCTTCTCGAACGCTTTCGTCGGGATTTCAGGTCGAGAGTACGTTTACGCAGGTAGGGACAGACGGTCAAAGGTTTGGTGAGTGACGTGACGTTGCAAAAGGGTGAATATAGTCCGTACGCCTTCACGAGCAGGCGTTGTGTGTGTAGTCGTATTGTATTGTTGGATTACCTATGGGGCAAAGGAGGGGAAGAGGTGCGGAGGAAAAGAGTTAGAAGATGTATATTAAGAATGACAATCTTTTTCGCGAGGCAGATGGTCCCGGGCTTGACTCGGACCGGGGAGGGTGGTGGGTGTGTGGGAAAGGGGGCGGCTCTCAAGCGAAGTCGGGAGTGGACAAGGGTTTGAGCATCGCCGCCTGGACCCAGATGAGCGACAGACACTACTTTAGCAACCTTAGCGTAAGTGAGTGACAATAAGAATGGGGAGACAAAATGGAGGGCGGTGACAAAATGGAGGGCGGTGGGGGGGGGAGTGACAGCCCGCACAGAGGTGCCAGAGAACAACATCCCAAGCGACAGGCAGCATGGCACCACGAAAAGAGGTGGAGCTGATTAGGTAGGCCAGACCAGGTGCAAGCCCTTGTTGTGCCTTAGCAGATGCCGTGAGGGCCGGCGGGACTCGTTATTCCCTGGTAGCTGACTCTCCGTGTCTGTCATCTCTGTGGTACATACTCCGACTCCGTAGACTTAAAACTAACGACAGGGTTGCGGGTCGGTCAACCGGAACGTGGGAGCGACGGACGGTCAGGGGTCGGCGAGGGAGAGAGAGAGCAGAGGCGCTGTCGGCTCTGTGGGTGTGTGACGCCAACCCTGTTACTGTGAGGGCGGGGAACAACGACTTGGAGCTCGGGGCTTACCGTTACCCCGTTTGTCCAGACGGTGGGTGACCACATGCGTGCTAGGCCAGAAAGTCGGACGGGGCGGGGGCAGAGTTGACTCGTCAGTCGAGTCTGGGGACCCCACCGATAGTCGACTGCAAACGGGTAGAATTCGAGTCCGCCGAGTCCTCTGTTCCTCTGCAAGTCGAGTCCGCAGTCCACACACAAGCCCCGAGTTCAATAAAAACTGGCCTGTGCCATCCCAGCTGGTGCTTAAAGGAGTGCCGCACGCCGTTCACCTGCCTAGTATGCGCTGGCGAGTAGCTCAAGCCTACAAGTTAGCAGACCCAACTAATTATCACGGGGACCGGGCGAGCATTGCAATTGCGTTGTCGCATTGTCGCATGCTCGCGCCGCCACCTCGGTCAGAGGTCACCAGACCCGGAAATGAAGCTGAGCATGGACTTGGCTCGTGTTGGCCTAACATAACGAAATAGCACGAGTATTCCGCGATGAGGATTGGTGGCGTGTTCGATGCGTCCCCGCGTGTCTCGCATACAGTAGAAACCCGGGGCATGAGGGGACCTATAGTATAGAAGTCGCCCATACATACTTGTTACAATTAAGACGGCGCGCCGCGGATCGCGTTTCCTCCCTTCCTGAACAGATATACCTGGCCAACCTGGTTCGACATTGCCCGGCTCCCTTGGGTCCATGACACCGGGTCAGTGTGATGTGACGGAGGCATACAACGTAGGCAATAGGGGAAAGAACCGATGCGGGGAGCATCGTGTGTGGCCCAAAAGATGGGTGTAATCTGTTATCCGTACTCCGTACCTTGGGGCAACCTGGTGATTGGAGAATGAGCTGCACCAATGTCCCTCTAGGATGGATTCTGGCCGGATCTAAGCGTTGCCAAATCTTCTCCAACGCGGGAGGCGGAGTGTCTGTCCGGGGGGGGGGGAGGATGGTGACGACGAAGCGAGAAGGGACCTCCCTTGCGCCGTATTGGTGTCGAATTCGTCGAATTTGTGTCGGACGAAGAAGGGGGCCCCTTGCGACGGACAAGAAGATGCCAGATGATGGGCAAGGGAGACGCACTATTTACTGTTTGATTACTTCGTACGAAACTTCGCGACGAAGGGACTTGGCTGACGGGCGCCGGCGTCCACTATCGACTGGGCCCTGGCCTGCTCGTCAAGCATCTACCGACCGACAAATCCACGGCAAAGGGTTCCCGTGGCGGTCTGGTCTGGGGGGCGGCCTGGGGGGTCTGGGGGAATGACCGGGAGGGCCTTTCAGACGGGCGTCCAGACGGCCGTTCGCGCGGCTCCTTCTGGACGGCTTCGAGTGGCGTCAAGTGGCGTCGGTACTTTTGAAACAGCCACACAGCTGGCTTCTGCCCTGGGTTAAGGGAGGTTTAAGGGACGACGTGGGCGTATGGTGAATGGATGCAGACCGAGCGGTGGGGAGGGTGAGGGAAGTGAATGATTCTGATTCGTGAATGAGCGTAAGGAGATGAGGGTGGGGCCTCGCCAATCTGTCTGTATTCGTACTTCGCATGAACTCGTCTTGTCTTGGGAAGGGGCTGAACTTGTTCTCGTTGCACATGAAGTCTGCGTCCCTGATTCTTGGGTGAGTACTAATTAATTAGTACAAGGATGTCTCAGATGTCTCAGGCAGGGGCTTCTTTCTTGATTCCGGCGTTGTTCTTGGGTCTTCTCGGTGATGTCGATCCATACTGGCTCGCAATCTTTGACGTTTCGGGGAAGGCTCGGTGGCCTTGATCCCTTTCGTCGGCCAAGGGTGCCAAGGGGATCAGAGTATGGGGCAAATGACGATGAGTATGGAGTGTGCCTGTTTGTTTGTACGAAGTCTTTGCATGGCATGCAGGACAGAGTAGGTATAGCGGTGTGATTGACCTCTACACGTAGGTCGTCCTGGTCATCCTGGTCATCCTGGTCGGACGGAGATGTCGATGCTTTCGAGAAACGCGGTCTGTGTTGCGTCCGTTCATGCTTGTGTTCTTTCGTTCTTCGTTTCCTTCTTTTTTTGTTCTTCGCACTTCCTTCTTCGTCTAGGCCAAGTCCCCTAGACGTCAGATCATTGCCAGGTTGGGCCATGGACGCGGAGGGCGCCCCTTGCTGGCCTTTAGCTAAAATTGCAGCCTCGGAGGGGGTCAGTAGCGTCAGTCGGTCCCCACCTGCAGGTCTGCAGTCTCGCGTACCCTACCCCAGTTAGGCGAGGAACGGCTGTTGTTAGCTCGGTCTGTACGGCGTACTAGAGAGGATTCGGTCTACACCAGAGAAAAGAGGTCCATAGACACCTTGCCGCGCTAGTTCGTGCAGCGGCTTGCTGCACGTGAAACGGTTTGCGGAACTAGGCAACGTTTAGACGCTGAGTGGCTGAATGCCGAGCAGATCCGTAATCTCGTAGAACAAACGTAGAACGAGCGAAGAACAACGAAGGCATTCAAAAATTGTGACAAGGGCTGTGCGTCTGGACGGGATCGCTTTTAGTGACGGAAGTCCCGAACGCCCTACGGGGGTTGGGGATGAAATTGAAAGTGAAAATAAAAGTAAAAGTACCAAGTACCGATGAAATTACGAACTGATCACGAGGTAATACCTTAGTATTGGTACTCCGCACATATCGGAAATCTCATCGTCATCATCTGGAATAACTGCATCCTTCATACAAGTGCGAATAGAATACATGCATTCCTGCTAGTGGCACTTGCCATATGGTTTTTATTTGGACAATGGGTTAAGTGAGGGGAACAAATAGAGGAAGGCAAGACCAACGTACCTTGCACTTGGACCTTTAAGGTAGGCAGTCGCGAAGCATACGAGACTTCCGAGGCAAGAAACGTCGATGGCATTATGACTTGGCCTTATAGGTACATGCCGGCCAGTAGCTCCTAGCATGGAGCCATAAGTACCGTCCGCTAAATCTGAGGTGCTTCCAGTCTACTCCGTACTAGCGTCACGCCACTAGAAAGAACAAAAAAAATGGCTGCGTGTGTCATTCTTGCTGCACCAGGCAGAATACCTAACGGCTTGTACTTGGGGGGTTTCCACCCTTCGATGACTCAGTCCTTACCGAGTATTCTTCGTGCTCGCAGTCAGGAACTTTTTGTGTGCTGGTACCTGACACGGCTAGGTACCTTAGTAAGGACGCAAGGATTCGTTACTCCAGAAAAACAACAGGCCAGAAGAAAGGGCAGGGGCTTCCATGATCACCACCAATGCAAAAAAGCAGCCACGTCTCACTATGTTCTATGATCCTTCCATCTGCCAGTCCGTCATCGATCTAGTCGTAATCTTCAATCCATGTTCCATGTTTCATGTTCCTGAATACCTACAACGTATGTACACGTACTATCTGGCAAGTCTAACACTTGACAGGCTGACCACTGGCCAGACACCCCTGGCGGAGTGGTCATCCAAAGCAAAAAAATCCGCCGTCTTACGCCACATGAACATCTACTCGTCCGTCGAAAAGTGAGAAGGTCGGCTGCAAGGTAGGTCCAACGCCCGTCCAGAAACGCTCACCTTTGCTTCTCCAATAACGTCTTCGTACCTCATGTACGATATAATTACATATTACTCCATACGTTACCTTAACTACTTTGGATCTTCCACCCTGCCACAACACAACTCCACATCTTCCTCCTCCACATTACCAGGTTTTCTTGCGTCTCTTCCCCCGCATCTGGGGGATTCCTTGCTCTTCCTTGCTCTCTCCACCGTCGTCATTCACACCAGTCAGATTCCTCGCATATTATTATCATCACGACGGCAACCCCTTGCTCCTGGGCTGGCTGCGGAGGGAAATTACCGTCTCTCCACTCGCTTCCCGCACAATGCCGGATCTTCACTCTGCTCCTCGATCAACCCTGGCCATTCCCCGTGTTTTTGTCAGGATTGGTGTTGGTCTTATCCTGACACGCCGGGCTTTGCCTTCATGCTGGTTTTAGACGCATTCGCTAATGAAAGGGTCAAAACACCATGATTCTCCCGTGAGAGAGGTAACCATGAGTTATAGGGGGATACACAGGTCTGTCTTTACAGTATCACGCCAGCCTTGGGGTGAAAACGACCAGAGAAATACGTATTCGTTGACAGCCTCCTCTGTTGGTTGGCCTCTGTTGGAGAATACGGGTCGTGCCTCCGGATTGGCTCTGGCCGTCGGCAACTCCAACTCACGGCCGTCGGTCCGACACTCCCACTTTTTATGTGTTCGAACAAATAGCAGGGCGCCGCCGACTTGCTCGACCATTTACGAAATACCTGTACACTTGCGAGAAGAAACGTTGGTCTCCGGACCCATGCACCGCCCAGTCCGTCGTCCATTTGTTTCTTCTCCGCTAGATCTCAAGTCGTGCTTCGTTCTCGTACGTACGTCCAGAGAGAGAAAACGAAGATAAGACAAAAAAGCAGGCGAAAAATGACTTTTGCCGCGCGTATACATGTCGTCTCGAGAATCGCTCGCGCCAAAGGGAGAGGAGGAAAACACAGAGAAGTACGAACACGCGTACCAGGGTCCGCCGTACATACAGAGAACAAAACGGCATCACGCCGTGATGGCCGCCTCTCGTGCTCTCGTGGTGAACTGACTCGGACGTTTGAGCGAGGGGCGGTATATCGTCTAATAATATATACCTGGTTTCGGTTCCGGTTGCGTTGGGTCCTGCTCGGGACGGAGGTTATAACTAACTTGGAGGTTCAACGGTCCGGTACGATGCATTCCCTCCCCTCCTTGTCGCCGGGACGCTCTCTCCGCTTTTGACTCCATGGCGACTTTGAGCATCAGTAATTCCCGGGCCGGGGGGTGGACAGACAAACACACCAATGGCTAGGTACAATGGGATTGATCGACATGATGGAGAATGTCAGAGTGTGTTGTGTTCGTAATACGTTGTAAGCATGCACGCTGCAAAACTACACTACTTCGTACTAACTACGCCTGCTGCTCTCCTTGATCTCGGACGCAGGTCCGAGTTACCAAAACGGGCGTCTCGCATCATCTCCGCGCTTACGTTGTACAACGTACCCACCACCATTCACCTGATGATGGTGGTGGCGAGCCAAGTCGTCGGTGTGCTTGCGCCTTCCCCGTACCCTCCTCGTACGAAGTTACGGACGTGGCTTTCTTTGTTGAGATCTGGACAACATCCTTTTGTCTGTTTTCGAATGACATGTTTCACTATCACCGCCATGCTTTCGACCTCATTACCTGGGCAGCGATGGACGAGACAAGTATGGTTTAGTGAAACGCTTACTATTAACCGTCTCCTTCGTTTCTCTCGATGCTCTGTTCTCCCCGTCTGACATTCCCAACCACGGAAAGACTTGCGAAGCGATAGAAAAATGATTGGACCGTTTACTGTCTAATAGCAGTTTAGAACGACGTCCTCTCTCAGCTTCATGTCGCGCCACCGCCATCTCTACTTCATAGGTGTTCCAGGTTGGCAGAGACCGCATAACTCTCATGATAGAGAAAAGGGTATACCGTATTCGGTGGGCTTCTCGGCATTCGAAGTACGAGCGTCAGTCAATGCATCGGAGCAGTTCATTCTCAGCCTGGTCTCACGTTCAAGCGTACGTTGGACGTATACGGACTAGGTAGGTATGGTGACCGTTATCCACTTTGTGCCGCTGTCCTCCTTTCTCGGCCTCCTTCCCTTCTCCTCTACGAAAGTCTTTAGGACCCAAGCAGCCCCGATCGCCCTTCCATCCACCGATCGACTGTTTCCCTCAGCGACTACAATGTGCGTTGTATCTCGGAACCCCCAGATTGGGCCACGGCGAGCGGGGGCAGGCCACCATATGGGCCCATTCCCCCATTCAGGTAGCCAACACAGACACAGCTGGGGGCGGCTCAGTATTCCGACCCCTTGAAATCCGGCCAACGAGGTAGCCGGCCGGCACGCCCTCTTTATCCACAGCTCAACCATGGTTCAGCAAGCGGAGCTGTCTGCAAGTAACTAAACTCTCCGTTTCTTAACCTTTCTTTGATAATGTCCCTGGGGCCCCTTTACCGAGGGACCAGGTCCTTTTTCATCTCGGCTATCTTTGATATCGAAAATGTCATTCCGTTATTGGCTTCCCCATCAGATAGATGAGGTGCGTTTCTGAACCAGAGAGATATCATGGCCTGGCCTGGCCTGGCCTGTCATCAATAGTTTAGGAGCTGAGGCAGAAGGCTTGTAGGTGTACGATTTCAGATAGATGAATGGGCATGACTTATTGGCTGGGAACGACTGCAGCTTGGAATCCGGGGTGCAGGTTTCGCCTCCTCGTCTTTCATTTTCAACGCTGGCTGATCACGAACATTGGTTGTTTCTTTTGATCACCTGAATTGAGTGTTCGTACATACCTATGGTCTTGGACGCCCCCTGGCGTGGAACTAGTTGATGAGGGGCAAAAGACTACCCTCGACCTAGTATCACGGAGTTAAATAGTTGTTTATGAGACTTCCGATGGAGAGAGTTTCCTCCTTCGTGTTGAACGGTCAACAAGTCCGAACTCAACTGGGTGATGTCTGGTGATCCGGTGATCTTCCTGTCACGTTCGGTGTCTCGAGCCCTTGAAGCTGGCTATCATCGGCTCTAATCCTATGTTGCCTGGGTCCAGACCACCGTCGGGGGGTTCAGGAGTAGAGATGAAGCCGCGAGATATGACGATGGGGAGGAGGAGGTGGTAGACAAGCCCGGTGCCTCGGCTGTCCCCTACATGCAGTCTATCTATCCCTGAGATATCTTATTCTTTCCCGAGCTACTGCTATGGCCGTTGCAAAGAGTATCAAAGGTTTAGATCGGCGAGACCACGTACCGTTGTCCGACATGCCGCAGCAGAGCCAACATACCCAGAGTTGCAGTCGTAGATCTCGAAACCAGCAGATCAGACCTCTCTTTATCCCCCCAATATATATCCGGATAATATCCCAATTATCCAGTCAAGGGTCTCCGGGTTACCCAAACCTAACAAGTGCCCAATCCCTTCCGTTCCTGCTCCTGGTTGGGGCCCATTCGGGTTGAACCGACTGGAGCCCGCGAGCGGGAGCGAATGTATCCTACCTGGCTGGCTGCTGTAGTTCTAGAAGCCTAGAATAACAATACCTGCGGCTTTGGTTTCTGACGCCAGAGCAATAAGCACAAGTGAGCCCTCTTTTTAGGGGTTAGGACGGGGTATTCTGGTTAGCTTTGTATGTCACGCCATACCGCACACCCGTTACCCGTAGATTGGTCTTTTTGACTCTGATCATACTCCAGAAGAGGGATGGATGGTTCTGTTGAAGGAGCCTCATTAAATCCTAGGACTTTCCAGCGAGGAATTGTCACTGTCTTCGGTTCCCATTTGCACATGCACATGCACATGCACCCGAGTCGTCCAGTGTCGTCAGAGTCCTTTAGGACAAACCTAACTTGAGTGCGGCATTGTAGGATGCGGGTGCCAGTGATGCGCTTTGTTTTCTTCGAGTTTGTTGGATCCGTCGTGACGCTTCTAAAGAGTCCGTCTTGCGAGAAAACCAACTGGAAACGAGGATATGTCTTGCAAGCCCCTGAGTTCAATGCACCCTGAGACGCCGGGATGAGACTGGGTCCATGACGACGATGTCGACTCTCGGCCCTTATTCACCATATCCTCTCCTCCCTAGACTCGCGTGTGCACGCAGACCAGACCAGATAGGGGTGAGTGGTTGGGTAATGCTGGTAACTATTCGTGTTGGCGACGAAAGGAAGAACAGGTCGTCAACAGATTTGTTCCCCATGATTCTGAGCCTACAAGTAGTAGATGTCGTGCATAGACCTAAGGGACCTTAAAGCAGCAAGTCACTTCAACAGTTCGTCTTGTTCGAACACATGTCACAGAGTATTACAGGTAGAAAACGGGAGAAACAACGGACAGCAGACTTGGGAAACTGGGCCTTTCATTGACTATCCCCATCGAGCCGCAAGCTAGATCCACCACTCCTCGCCTCTCTCGTATCGTCAACCCATGCGCACTACCCTTCGTACCCGCGACGGCAAATCCTCAAATCATTTCATCACCTTCCCTTGTCTTCGTCCCGCCATTGCCGGGGCAAGGACGTCTTCTTCATCGCGAGCCTGGACTCGCCTCTGCGAGCCGCCAGCGCTGATACTCAGCCTTCCCTCCACGGGAAAAAAAAAAACACCACACAAGCAAACAATTAAGCACCGGGCTCCTCTAATCCCTGCGGCACAGGCCGCTTCTCGGCTACCATAACCACAGGGAACTCCTCCCGTGCAAAGCAAAGGGAAGACGCAAGAATGGTAGCAAGAGTAAAAAAAAAAAAGAAGAAGATAAAAAGATAAAAAGGGGCATGAACGAGTGTCGAGAAGGACCCGCCTCAAAATGGGACGGATGGAGAAAATGTACATGAGAAGTGGGGACAGCAACGGAGAAGTATATGGGAAGTGCTAGCAATTCTTGGCCCCGCGTTGTCTGAAATCATCACCGTTTCAGTTTTCAACAGTGAGGTATGAGCGGCGGCCGCCTCTTCGACGCCACGGAGCCTGCTTACTCCATCGCTAGGCCCTAGGGTATAGGCTTGGAATCGGACAGGGTTGCCGTCAGAGAGCCTGGCCAGGGAGAGGTTTGCGTTCTACAGGCCCAGTCGGCGGTCCTGCTCGTGGTACTGGTTGTTGGTACTGCTGAGGCGGTGACCCGGTGGGGCTCATGCGAGTCGGTTGCGGATTCCTTGCGACTCCAGCGGGGCTCTGGCTCCGACCCGTGCCGCTCGGGCTCTGTGGTCGGGGACCGGGAGGGCCCTGATAGCGGGGGCCTGGGCTCATGCCGCGAGCACTGGAAGGCGAAGCAGGGCGACGTCCGGCAGGAGATGCAGGCCGGCCGGGGCCCTGCATAGGTCTCATGGGAGATTGTGGGCCAGACCCGGGGCCACTTCGGGGAGGTCCGCTGTAGGGCCCGTGAGGTCCGTGGGGCCCTGGCATGGGACGTTGACCTGGGTGATGATGAGGGCCAGGTCCACGAGGAGGGCCCGGAGGTCCTCGAGGTCCGGAGTTCTGTGGTCTGGGCTTGACAGGGCGAGTTGACAGGCAGGTCCGGGGAACAACACCCTGCTGAGAGCGGTCGAGGCGGATGCAAAGAGCCTACATAAAAATTGGTTAGTACAGCCTGCCTGGGCGTAGATAAGAAGAAAGGACAACGCAGCGGTTGAATAAAAAGAAAAAAACCTACCCATCCGTCGTCATACTCGTGGAGGAGTCGCACAAGCTGACCAGCCCTAAGCTCCATCTCATCTTCCAGAGTCGGCTTGAAGTCGAGCTGCGCGCGATGAACTGTGGAGTTGGCTGGACCTCCAGCCGCGGCGATGGCAGCAGCCGAGGTGGAGTGTGGGATGGATTGACCGGGGCCTTCCGAGTTGATACTGAACTCAGTACCGGCAGGGCTCGGGGGAACTTCGGACAGAGGTGGTGGGAGAGTCAGGTCTACTGCCTTGGGACCACCGTTCCGAGTCGAGGCCTTGCGTGTGAGCGTGCCAGCAGCAACGGCGGCGGCAGCTACTCCGGCAGCCGTTACAGAGGCCGCAGACGTAGCGGTCGTCGCGTTATCCGTGGTAATGGCATGGCTGTCTGTCGCCGGCGAACCCTGAGGAGCAGCGGGTGCGAATTGGTGGCTAGGACCAGGAGGAAGAGGCTTCTCCGCGGGTGGATTGAACGGGTCCTCGGCAACGGGCGAGGGAACGCGCTCCGCTTGCTGGCCGAAAGGATTATTTGGGTCCGTGCTTTCGCTTGTCATGGGCCTGTCCCAAGGGGTCAGGCCTGGGGCTGCAGCGACACCACCGGCGGCGGCGGCGGCCGGGCTCAAGGCGATGTTGGCACCTTTGCTCGCGCGCTTGTCAAAGTTGAAGTTGGGGAACAACTGGGTGACGGGACGAAGACTGAGGCGTGGCGCGCGGGGATCGGATCGCGTGGTCGGGGATGGTGGGCTGGCAGGGGTCACGGAGACGAATGGAGGGTTGGCCTTCTCGTCGTCTTCCGTCATCTGTTGGTGCTTGAGTTGCTTCTTGCGGCGTCTGAAGAGGAGGAAGGCAGCGAGACCAATGAAAAGGAGACCGGCGAGAACGCCAATGACGATGCCTGCCGTGGTAGCGGCACTGGTGCCAGAACCTTCACCGGCTGCAGAGGGCTCCGAGCTGGCTGAAGCGGGGATATTGACGATCCTTTCCGAGTCAGCAGTCCGCGTGGGGGTTGGGGGAAGCACGGGAGTGTTGGTGTCGACAGCAAGAGTGCCAGCCACACTCGATCTGGTAGGTTCACTGATGACGGAGGGGATCGTGGTAGTCGTCCGAGACGAAGTCGAGGTGGAGGTCGTGTCGGTTGTTGTCGGCTGCTCTACTTGGACGGGAGGGGCCAGAGACTGGACAGTGGTGGGCGTAGACGGCGTCTGCGTAGTCGTGGTCGAAGTGTCCTCATCGTCGCCTAGTGTCCTGTAGCCGGCGATTTCACCTGTGAAGGTGGGAGACATGGTGTGGATGACAGTGCGCACGATGGTAGTAGCTGCTCAGCGCGTTAATCACACGGGTATCCAAACAACAAATACTTATGAGACTGGCTGCAAGGCGAAAAGACGACTGATGTCGGGACTTGTGCACTCACCTCCGCGGGGACTATCTTCTTCTTCATCGTCGGTACTTTGTCGTCTTCGGTTGAACTCTCTCCAGCTTTCCACAACGAACTCTTCCAAGTCCCTATTCCTTTGTGAAGACACCATGTCAGGGTGTCTGTGATTGTGATGGCGCGCCATGAGGGCCACAGATATTGGCTTCGAAAGCAGGCGTAATAAACGGGGGAAAGACGCAGTATTGGGTCGCAGGTATGGGGAAAATCCGAGGAAGGCTCCGCAACGGTCAAAATGGGTATTTGCACAGGTAGAAGGCCGTTGGTCCGAGGAGTTGGTGGCAACGGAGGCTGGGATTCAAGGCTGGAATGTGGCTTCTGACGTTGGAGATGGGGGACGAGTCGAGTCGAAAGGAATGATGATTGACGCCAATTGGAGTCTGGTTGAGGTCCAGATGGCAATTGTCTCAGTGACACAAATGGGGAGGTCGATGTTGATTGTATTCCAGGAATAAATGAACGGAAACGGCGTTTAGGTGTACGGCCAGCGGGGAACGAAAGTAAAGTGAAGAGACGATATATTGCAACGTTGAGATCCACCAGGTCGAGAGTCGGTTGCTCGAGCGGGTTCGGGTTCGAACGAAATGAATGCCAGCCAAGCCTAAGGAGTAGCAACAATAGAAAAAAAAAAGAATGGACGAATCTGCGACTTGGGTACTGGTACGGCAATGCGACCTGTTCAATGCAGTTCTAGGTTGCGCGAAGGGTAAGTTCGCGAAAGACCTGGCACGACGTGAAGCGAAATCAGGTGAAGGAGGAGAAGGAGAGGAGGAGGGAAAAGGGCGGAAGGTCAAAAATAGGAGGATATAGGAAAGAAAAGAGAGAGGACTGAGGAGTTCAACGGCGGTGCACGGATTGCCAGGGTGACATCTTGGCAGTAACTTAACTTGCCTGGGACTCTGTACTCCGTACCACGTGCTATTTTGTTTACTGTGCCTAGGTATATACAGACTTCGTACCTACCTACAACGTACACACACGAGGGAGCGGATGATTCCTGTGGGGAAGGTGTCACCCTGGTTTAGGTATTAATTACCTCTCCATTGTCCCTTCCTTAAATTTCCCATATACCTTGCCTTTTTTACCTTTTTACCCCTTCACTTTTCTGTGTCTTTTTTGGGCTCATCTCTGGCTCCTCAAAAAAGGGGAAAAAAGAAAAAAATCCTCCCTGGATTCCTACAGCCCTGTTCCTCCCTTGCTTGCTCATTTTCTCTGTGTCATTTTCTTCTTCCTTCGGGGTACGACTACTCGCATGAGCATCCGTACTGTCCATACAGTACCTAAGGTACTTTAAGGTAGGTACCTTTGCGAGGTCCTGAAAGATGGCGTCGTCCCTTACCGATCCATGCATAAAAAACGGCTGCGCAACTCCACTTGCACGAAGCCTGTTGGTTAACCTGCGAGGATCACGACGATCATTATCATGAATTTACACCTACTGCCCAGCCGGTTTTTTTTTTATTTAAACTTGACTTCGTACAACATACATATGAAGCAGAAACCCGACCGAGTCACCCCTTATCGACCCAGTCGTTATGGTTGCCTCTGCATCTCTTAAGCCCTTTGCTTTTTGCCCCTTGGTTGATTTCTCGGCCCTTTTCGCTTTGAACCCACAACCGTAAGGTGTACCGACACTGTAAGATGCTCTATCTGATTCCAGTACAATTCCTTCAATCCGTACTTCTTGATTTCTCCTGTGCCTCATGTTCTCTCAGTCTCTCCTTTAGGTACGTACTCACCGGTACTCGTCGTCCCTTGTCACCCATCCTCTCACAACGCCGTCCTCCTCCCCTAAAGAGTAATGATCCACCTTCAGTAAAGAGCACTACATCCGTACTAGCCAGGAACCCATGCAGGTACGACTGGTTTTTGATTGGCAAGGCTAGTATTTCGAAAAGCCCCTGTTCGCAAACCGCCATTCTGACCAATGAACGTTGTTGTTTGTGTTTTTGATGTGCATATCCCACCAATAGCACGTCTTCTCCTCGACGCACTGTCCAGAGAAACCCCTGGCTCGGAAACTCATGGTCGCCGACTGGACCCCTGAATGCATGCATCTCTTTCCTCCCATTCACATCACCAGCGTCGACTTTCGCACCGTGGCGGGAAAATTGAGGAATTGAGGAAGACACGCTGGACGATGAAAGGAATCCTTCTTCACCCGTTCACACTCGGGATCCTCAGTAAGTAAGGTATTCTTCCACGTGCTGGACTCTCCGTCTGGCTCGGAGCTTGATATTTGTTCTTCGGTCTCGATGTTATCAACTTGGCCGTCCGTCGTTCATCCAGCTCGTATGAAGTGGTGAAACCGCATCTAGCATAGGAACACGCGATTCTGGGTTGCCTTTAGCCCACACTGTTTGAAAGAGGTTCTGCTCTCGTGATGGGCACGGTTGGACGTATGTATTTGTGCATTCTACTCCCCAAGTCCAAACTGCTATGAGCCGTTTTATCATCCTTAAATACTCTATCACCACACCCCAACAAACAGAAATGGAGACAATGAAACAACAGACACAAAGTAAAAATAAGGGAATGACTCCCCGACATGTAAGTTTTGTCCCAGCGACATGTAAACCCACTTATAGGTGGGGCTATTAAGATAAGATTACCGTATATAAGTATCCCACATAATCTGTATGTATAGCCCGAGTAGAATTCTAGGTATACTCGTTATAGTATCACGTAGGGAAGGTCGCTTTCTTAGCCTTGTCAGCCAGACTCGGTTGATGCCGTTCGACATAATGACGCTGGAATTAACCGCTCTGTAGAGAGAGCCGTTGGTTCCCTTTCATACCTTACCTACCTAGGTACTCCCGTTTGTTTTCCCTCTCTATCCGTGCCGTCATCATGGACCCTCCCAAATTCACTCCACCCAGCGGGCTACGTACGGAGTACTTCGTCGACGCCCCTGTCACTTCTGAAACGCCGGTGTCGAGCTTGCACAGAGTTTTGACCCGCTCGCCTAAAATCCACGTTAGTGTACTGGACGGAGCACGGATGCAGAGCACGCGGTTGAGAATTGCAAGCTTCCCACAAAAGGACTCCCCACAACGAGTCTTCATATCATGCTTCGCAGGCCCTTGAGGATTTTCGTGAGAAAGATGGCAGACATCGGCGAAGAGGTATTCTTATTGTCCCCCGGAACTCGGTTTCTAACTTCATTACCCGAAGAAGAAGAAAAACGAAAAGGCATCAAAAAACTCCCCATTGCAACTTGGCAATCCCATGGTGATCCACCATCTCAGAGCGGCAGTTCGCATCACCACAACAGATTCGCGGAGTCCCCCGTGCCGGTAGACAACGCAAAGCTCACACACTAATTCTGTGCTGTGCCGGGTCAAAATCTTGATTACTTTCGTAATTTTCTCCGAAGATCGAAAGGGTCCATCAGGGTCTGTCTGCTGCGTCTCCAGAGATGGAAATAGGAGCGCCCAAAACCAAGGAAGGAGAGCGGACAGCGGCGCGGGCACTTACGCACCACTAACTCCATCCTTATTTTTACGTACGGATGCAAAGAAACCCTGCCAGCAGTGTCCAAGGTTGTTGGCCATCTTGGTCTTCCTCTGTTCATTTTATTTCCTGCCGTTGCAAAAGCTTATGTCGCCACATGTTCTCTTCAAAGTCCCTGCTGTCACACTTGCCCCAAGCCACTCAGTCCCATCATATCCCCTGTAATCCATCCCAGGCTTGTACACGTAGAAACAATTCATCACCAGCAAAGGCCAAGCCCCAATCCTAATCCCGGATCAAGAGGCGTACAGGCTGATTCGGGGTCCGGTGCGGTCCTGGCCCACATTTCTAAATCTCACTCGCGACGTGAGGCACGTGAATACCTTAGGTATAGTAAAATGTAAGAAAAAAAAAAAAAAAAAAAAAGAGAAAAAAAAAGAGAAAAAAAAAGAGAAAAAAAAAGAGAAAAAAAAAGAGAAAAAAAAAGAGAAAAAAAAAGAGTATAAAAAAAAAAAAAAAAAAAAAAAAAAAAAAAAGCGCCGCATACATGGTGCCCTATCATCGTCCGTCTCAGATTGAAAGGTCAAGATACCTCGAACCCCAACCAAATTTACAGAGTACATACAAGGTACTCCTGTGTGCCCCATCTATCACTGCGGAGGGGGCGGCTGAGGCGGCTGCCATTGCGCCTGGCCATCCCCACCGCCAGCTTGTTTCTGCTGCTGCATCTGTCCCAGCAAGGCTGCCAAAAAGGCCGGGTTAAGATACGCTCCCTGCACATTCTGCTGCTGCCCGCCCTGTTGCTGTCCGTGTGTGGCGACATGTGCGGCGCTTTGCGGTGCTGGGGCCCAGTTGGGTGGAGGTGGAGGCACGGCAGGGAAGCCGCCCTGCCCAGGCTGCGGAACGGGGATGTTGAAGTTGAAGGCCGCCGCCGGATTGTAGCTGGGTGTTTGCTGTTGATACAGTTGCGGTGGTGGTGGCGCTGGGGACATCGGCTGTTGCTGTGCTTGTTGTTGTTGAGGTGGCTGAGGTTGCGGCCACTGGTGACCGCCAGGTGCTGGCGGCAAGGTGTGGCCATCTCTTGAGTCCCCACGGTGCTGGAAGCCCCCGCCCCCGCCCCCGCCCCCGCCGCGTCCTCGACCTCCTCTGCCCCGGTCTCTGCCCCTGTTACCCCGACCTCGAAAGTCGGCCCGTCCACGATACGCGCCGAACCGCGGTTGGGGTTCTGGCTCCTGGATGAAGCTCTGTTCGATCGGAGGACCCTGGCCAAAACTGGCCGGCCTTGGAAGGGGTTTATATGGGCCGTCGTCCTCGTCGTCGTAGTTCAATCCCGAACTTGTCGTCGCATCAGGTTTGACCTCGTTCCGAAGCGGGTGCGGTTCTCTGCCTCCTCCGCGAGATGCTCCACCACGGGCAGCCTTGCCTTCTCTCTTCTTCTGCTTAACCTGCCTCTTGTACTCTGCTTCCTTCTCGTCATCCGAGAACTCCATCTCCTCATCGCCCACCTCTTCGTCGTGAATATTACTCGCGTCCGATCCCTTGAGGTTCCGCAACGGCTGGGTAAATACGTACGAGGCGTGGTTGACGGGGTAGAACACCTTGGTCCCCGTCTTCAGACCGGCCTCCGCAATCTCCTCCGCCGTGGTAAACATGACCGTGTACATGGGCTGCAGGACCTTGCCGATGGTCTCACAGACGACCCCGAAGACGGTGCGATCTTCCGTACACAGGACGGACCCGGTATCGAGGACCTGGTATTCGCCGGGCGTGTAAGCCTTGACGACGAGTATGTTCTCGACAATCTGGTCAACCTCGCCGAGGGGCTCGATTTTCGTTTCCGGCGCGATGGTGACGTCGGGCTTGGGGATCACCTCGGGGGGCAGCTCGTTCTTGGTGCGCAGTTGGCCGGCGTTGGCACCGCGACCTCCACCGCCTTCGTTCTCGTCGTCGGAAGCGGCCTCCATCAGCATGCGCACTGTCTCGTCGACACCCAGTAGCTCGTATCCTTCATTACCCTCGCCATTGTCGTCGTCGTCGTCGTCGTCGTCGTCGTCCGATGACGAGTCGGAGCTGCTCGACTCGGACGATGATTCGAGAGGTGATGAATCTGTCTCCCATTCTCGTTGTTCGCCTTCTCCGTTCTGTTGGGTTGCCCCTGGTTGTGTCTGGGATGTCGCTTGCTGCGGCGCATTGCTCTGCTCCTCCGTATTCATCGGCTCGGCTGGGCCCAAGGCCGCTTCCAATGCGCTGGTTAGAGAGGGAGGGCTCGGTGGGCTGTCTACATTCATGGAATCGGGGTCAGGCTGCGCAGTTGCGGTGCTGGATGTCTGGTGTTCTTCTGCTGCCTTTTGCGCATCGGGGGGGGCAGCGGCCTCGGTATTCACATCGTCCTTCGAGGGTTCAACTTTTTGCTCCCCGTTCTTCTCGCCCATGACTACATCGTCGCCTCCAAGGCTAGCAGCGGCGACGAGAATGTCGGCAGGGACTGGCGGTAGAGTCTCATTGGGCTTGGCGAAGCCCAGCCCAGGGATGGTGAAGCCCGACATGCTGGGCTGGCGAGGGTGATGGAGGCAACAGAAAGTAGGTTGTGCTCCTAGAAGATTTTCGCCGCTTGCACGAGACTCGGGGGGGGAATATCCTCAAGGAACGATCTTCAAGGAATATAAGCAGACCGAAGGATATAGAGGGAGTGTAGTGATCGAACGAAAACCAAGTTACGTGGTTTCGTAGAGGGAGTGGGAGCTTTCAAGTGGTAAGGAAGACTAGAGGGACGGAGCATCTAGAGATATAGATAGAGATGCCAATCGAAAATTTTAGTGGAGACTGTCTGAGAATTTTAGCGGGGCACACTGCAGGAAAAGCTCCAGCTCACCGAGTTCACCGAAGTATATGGACATGTACTTCGACTCACCGAGAACACGGAACCACAACCCACAACCCATCACGGGTAGTCGACTACTTCACGTTGAAGACTCTACTTTTCTTTTGGAATGCCATCGATTTTCTGAACGATTCGTGTGCTGATGTATATGTGTCTGTGGCAGAAGAACATGCGATCTTATGCTACGGAAAGGGAAAAATGGACATGGAAGAGAGATGGACAAGAAATATGCATACCTTAGCTATCGGTCATGTGTCTAAGGTATATTAGGGAGACTAAAAGAGAAGGGAGGGTGGAAACAAAAAGGACGGGAATGGAAGAGGAAGAAGAGAGGAGGAGGAGGAGGAGAGCGACGGGCACTGCTCAAGAAGATCACTCAACCAAACCAACAGTGTACCCAGTATACCTTACCTGAGATACCTAGCTTGATTGCCTCATTTATCGGCTTATGTCTGAGCCACTAGGTACCTTATTCGTATTTAGTATTTACTTCCGTAACAGCAAACCTGATCTTCAACGACTCGGACAATTAGGAATCTCCATCCAGTCCAAGTTTGGGCTTCCCCCCCCTTCTCCTTTTTTTCCTTTTGTTTTTTCAACTGCTATTCAGATAGACAAATACTAGAAGACAGGCTCTTAAGTTTTAAGACGCTGAGCTAGCAGGAATTATGTAGTCGCCTACTTCGTACCTCTGTACAGCCGGAGAGCGGACTGTTCACCTTAAGGTAGGTAGTCTTGAGTCCTGACACAGGAAGGAAGGTGTGTATCTCCTTCCTCATAGTAGACAAAAACCCTTGTGGTATGGCATAATAGGCCACAAACGGCAGTATTAGGTCTGGTAGACCGCAAAACCAAGACCTCTCGGTTATAGGTACTTTACAACCATCTGTATTCTTTCCTTCCAAGAGGCAGGCACGTAATAATATGAGTATCGCAACTTCCTTTTGCAGACGACTTATCTTGGTTCCCTTTCTCTTCCTTGCTACCTACCTCACCTTTACTGTTCTTTCTTCTCTGTTCCCATAGGCAATATTATTACCTTACTCTATAATATTTCCTGGCCTCTAGTAGCTAGGATTTTCTGTGAAGGTGAGTGATCATAACTCCTTCTTTCTTCCTCTCTAAACATTCCTTAACCTGGCGTCTGCTTTATGCTGAGGTTCATCCATCAGTCCACCCCATATCTCTTCCTTCAAACCCCCGAGTTGCGCGCACTTGATCTCATCACTAATAGCTTCCTTCTGGTTTAGAGCATCTGATATTATTCAAGATCAACACATAAACAATTTTGGAATGTTAATTTCTGTGTTAGGGCTGTTAAGGTAGGCAGGGCGCGCGAGCAAGAAACCTGCTGCCTAAGGTATACTCTGCTAACGGTGAATAGGAGAAGTCTACCTCACCTTACTTATCTTGACGGCCCTCTTCAGCCTGCCATGCCGAGTCCAGGGAACATCTCCTCCTCCGGTTCCACTGATAGGGGTGACCCTGAGGAATTAGCCACCGAGGAGCAACACCTGCGTCTCCGGGCTTTGACCTGGATCCTCTCACACACTAACTCTGACCCGGGTCGAAACAACGAAAGCTCTTGTCATGGAAAGACAGGCTCAACCTTGCACTTTGCGCGAAGCCGGAGCCAACGTTTCTTATACGAGACTACCGAGATGCTCGCTTTCCTACTGGAAAGACATCATGAATCGATTTCCGTCACGCCAGGTGATCGGAACGGCACGCCCAGCTTCGTCTCGCGGTCGTATGGCGCACAGCCTCCCAAGCTCCTGGACCATATGGAGATAGATCTGGAAGAGCTCATCGAGTTTGGTGATATTTTGGGCATCCCTCAAGAGACGGCCATTCATTATCTGCAACAGTGTCAACAGACCCCCGACTGCTCTGCAGAGCCCGTCCCCGTTTTCCCGACCAACCCCACGAACACCGCTACCACTGCAGCTGGAAGTAGTGAGGCCAATCAAGATAGCGACGGTTGGGGCCAGGATGAATCTGCGTTCTTCGTAAAAATGTCCAAAGTGGCCCCCAATGACTATCCTGCGCCCTCGGACGACAACCCGACCACTACTCCCTCTGGTCATGGTCAGTATCTCATGCGCCACGTCAAGGCTCAGATCAGCGAGAACATCTTCCTTACCGATGTCTCCTTCAAGCAACACTGCGGGAACATGGTCGACGCCATCAAGCGCACCCACAAAGCCAGGCATGACCCTTTTATGCTGAACACGGCCCACACCAGTCTCGCCATTTATCTGTACCTGGTCTCTGCCAGCAGCATCTACGAGAGGCTTCAGCGAGGCTTCGAGGAGTTTAGCTTCGGACGCTACCTCACCATTCCCATGACTGAGGTGCTGGACAAGGAACCCAACGCCTTCCGTCTTCCGTCCGAGGTGTCCTATGACGAGATGACCGTTATCCCCCTTCCCATCGATTTCTACCGGCTTCGTCCCGAACAGAGAGCAGCTCTGGAAGACTTGCTGTACAACGAACTACCAAAGCACGGGATCGCGCATGAGCACTTCGACCCGGACGCGCCCGGGGGTCTCCTGGAACGGGAGCGGTTTTACGACACGCACGGACGGATCATGTTCCACACACTCCTCACCACCATCATGACCCGGCTGACCGAGGAGGTCACCTGCCTCGTCAAGGCCAAGCGGGCGGCCATGGAGGCGCAGGCCGCCATCAACCGCGGCGAGGGCGACCACATAAGCGCGGCGCGCAGGGGGGAACTGGCCGACAGCGTCACGTACCATGCCAAGATGACGAGCGTCATGTTTAAGATGCTGGACGTGCTGCGGCTCAACTTCGAATCGATCATCAACAGCCACATGACCTGGCTGTGCCGCATCTTCGGCGCCTTCCCGGACAGCTACGACTTCGAGGCGGAGGGCGGTCGTCTCCGCGATGAGTCTAGGGCAAACGGGCTCTTTGACGAGTTCGCACCGCTGTGTCGGGAGATCTTCGAGCGCGGCTGGGTCGTCTCGTGCGTGCACTGGCTCAAGCTGCTCTGCCTGCCCGAAGGCAGCATGAAGGTCCTCCGCCGGCCGTTCCATGCCTCGATGCGGGATAACATGCTGTCGGCGCACATTGCCAACTGCAAGGTCGTCTACCTGGGCATCACGCCGGCGGCGGACAAGACGCGGATGATGCCCGTCAGGGCGTGCCTCCGCAGCATGGGGTACAGCTCGTTCGAGATCAGCGATGCCCTCGAGTGGCTCGTGCTCCAGGGGAGCATCCCCGGCGTCCGAGAGGTAGACCGGGTCGAGTTCAAGGGCTGCGTGCATGCCGAGGCCTTGCACATCCTCCTCATGGGCTTGAAGCGGCAGAGGGACCAGATGGAACTGTCCCCGGAAGAGGTGGCGGCGGAGGAGCAGGCACAGGAGCAGAAATCCGACGAGAACCAGAACGAGAGCGAGAAGGAAAAAGAGAAACGGAAGCAAAAACCCATCTGGTTACCCAAGACGGCCATCACGTCGAGGATCCTCAAAGACCGGGGGTACGCGCTGGTCAGCAACAACCCCTTCTGCGCCGGCTGCCGCGCGATCCTGGACTACGTCGCCGGAGAATACGTTCAGGACGGCGATAGCCTCGTTCACAGGGGGAGCCGGCCGGCCTGGACGCAGTTCGATTTGCCTCCTTGGACGCCGCGGGACGTCATGCAAGTGGCGCTGGATGAGGCCGAGGTGGAGGTGGCCATGAGGATGAGGAGCATACTCAACAGGGCGGCGCGGTACCGGAGCTACTCGATGATGGACTTTGAGGCTGTTGTCGGGAGCAACACTCCGGTGGTGGAGGCTGTAAACGGTGACGCTACTGACGCATCGATCGACGGGAAGGGGGAAGACAACGATTCGGAGTGGGAGGACTGTGAGGCGGATGATTCGTTCGATGCCGACCTTTGACCTTGACGGCGGTCCCCTTGCTGATGGCCCTTGCGTGGAAAAGATTGCATTTTTTTTTTGGAGGGGAGGCACACACACTCCTCAAGCGAAGATACTAGGCTGGTTGGCTCTTTTCTTTACTTTGGCGTTTGGGGTTCTGAGGCACTCGTCTTTGTCATCCTCCCTTCTACAGGGAACCACCCGGGAGAGTGAAGGGGTATGGGGATACCTCACTGACCATGTGAGATGACTGTTTTCTATAGGATGTAGAAAATGGAAGAAAAAACAGGGCCAAGCGTTCTTTGTTTTGCGATTGGGTATAAGCTTGTGTTGATACAGATGAGGTTGACGTTTTTCGCTGTCTTGGTAGAGGTAGAGTAATCCATCCCAGGCCAGCGTCAGTGTAGTATTAGATGGCTGTGAGGTTGAGTTTCGGTGATAATTACATAAGGTTCGGCGTATTTCATACACGGTATATGTTACAGTACATTACTGTAGGATAACTGTAAGATAACGTGGTGGGGAATCGCGGCGATAATTGACGCCGACATACCGAAACATCTCCACTCTAAAGTCTCGGTCGTCTCGAAAAATTTCCCGAACGTTGCTGCAGTTTCGCGTCAAGGAACCAACTGAATATTACCGCCGGAAACCCCAATACGCTCAAGACATCAGCAACTCGTTCCCGCTCTCGTTGTAAGATTCTGCAGACAGAATAGGCACTCGAAAAGCGAAAGCCGATACACACGATGGCGCCCGCTACGAAGGGCAAGGGAAAACGACCGGGGCCCTTCAAGCGGGACATCCGCCAGGAGAAGAGGAAGCAGCAGCAACAAAGCATAGAAGCCCTTGATAAGGCAGTGGCAGAGCTGGTAAGTAAAGACGCAGGCAGGTCAAGACCGCTCTCAGTCCGAACGGAGTCTAATCCCCAGACAACAGGATCTCAAAGCAGAAGACATCAAAACGTTCGCCGACCTTCCCCTTTGCCATGCCACGTCCGTGGGCCTCGAGAAATCCAACTTCACCACCCTCACCGACATCCAGGCGCGAGCGATCCCCCTGGCTCTCAAGGGCACCGATATCCTGGGTGCGGCCAAGACGGGCAGCGGAAAGACCCTCGCCTTCATCGTCCCCGTCCTCGAGAAGCTGTACCGCGTGCGCTGGACAGAGTACGACGGCCTCGGTGCCCTCATCATATCGCCGACGCGCGAACTGGCCGTGCAGATCTTCGAGGTTCTGCGGAAAGTCGGCCGGCAACACGCCTTCTCGGCCGGGCTCGTCATCGGAGGCAAGAGCCTCAAGGAGGAGGCCGAGCGCCTGACCAAGATGAACATCCTCGTCTGCACCCCCGGGCGCATGCTGCAGCACCTCGACCAGACCGCCGGCTTCGACGTCGACAACCTGCAGATCCTCGTCCTGGACGAGGCCGACCGCATCATGGACATGGGCTTCCAGACGGCCGTCGACGCCCTGGTCGACCACCTCCCCGTCCACAGACAGACGCTGCTCTTCAGCGCCACCCAGAGCAAGAAGGTGTCGGACCTGGCGCGCCTGAGCCTGAAGGACCCGGAGTACGTCTCCGTGCACGAGGTGGCCACGCCCTCCACCCTGAAGCAGCACTACCTCGTCACCCCGCTGCCGGAGAAGCTCGACACCCTGTACGGCTTCATCAAGGCGAACCTGAAGAGCAAGATGATCGTCTTCTTCTCGTCCGGCAAGCAGGTCCGCTTCGTCTACGAGAGCTTCCGGCACATGTCGCCCGGCGTCCCGCTGCTCCACCTCCTCGGCAAGCAGAAGCAGCTGCAGCGGATGGAGATCACCCGGCGCTTCGCCGAGGCCAGGCACTCCTGCCTCTTCGCCACCGACGTGGTCGCCCGCGGCGTCGACTTCCCCGCCGTCGACTGGGTCGTGCAGGTCGACTGCCCCGAGGACGCCGACACGTACATCCACCGCGTGGGCCGGACGGCGCGGTTCGAGCGCGACGGCCGGTCCGTGCTCTTCATGGACCCCAGCGAGGAGGAAGGGATGCTGAAGCGGCTGGCGCAGAAGAAGGTGCCCATCCAGAAGATCGCCGTCAAGGACCACAAGAAGCGGTCCGTCCGGGACGAGCTGCAGAACATGTGCTTCAAGTACCCGGACCTGAAGTACCTGGGCCAGAAGGCCTTCATCAGCTACGTGCGCTCCGTCTACCTGCAGCGGGACAAGGAGGTGTTCAAGTTCGACCAGATGGACCTCGAGGGCTACTCCAACAGCCTTGGATTGCCCGGTCAGCCGCAGATCAAGTTCCGCAAGGGCGAGGACGTCAAGAAGCTGAAGAACGCGCCGCGGCAGGGCATGTCGAGCGATGAGGACGAATCGGACGGCGAGGCGGAGGGGGGCGAGGACGGGTCGGAGAAGAAGGAGGGAAAAAAGAAGAAGAAGATGAAGAACGAGGTGCGGACCAAATACGACCGCATGTTCGAACGGACCAACCAGGACGTCTTGTCTGGTCACTACAACAAGCTCCTAGACGGCTCTGAGCAGACGCCCGATGCCACTGCTGTTGGTAGTGGCGACAACAATAACGCCGCCGCCGCCGCCGCCGACGACGACGACGACGACTTCCTCTCCGTCAAGCGCGTGTTGCACGGCGACGAGCTGGACAACGGCGGGCGAGGCCCCAACGGCGGCATCAAGAAGATCGTCTTCGGCGGGCAAGAGTTCGTGATAGACTCCAAGCGGCGCGAAAAGGCGCTCATGTCGAAGAAGAAGATGCTCAAGTACAAGGGGAACCCGACCAAGCTGGTCTTCGACGACGACGGCCAGGCCCACCCCCTGTACGAGCTGCAGGGCGAGGAGGATTTCGAGCGCGACGGCCCCGCCGAGGAGCAGCGCGCCCGGTTCGTCGAGGACGAGGCCGCGCGGGTGAAGGAGGCTGACCTGGACGATCGCGAGACGGCCAAGGCGAGGTTGCGGGAGAGGAGGTTGAGGAGGAAGCTGCGCGAGGCGGAGGAGAGGGGCGATATGCTCGGCGGGTCGGCTAGGGCGCAGGCCGCGAAAGCGGTCTTGGCTGCCGGGTCGGATGATGACGGGGACGGGGACGGGGACGAGGACGAGGATCCCCTGGCGCTGCTGCGGTCCTTGCCCACGGCTGGAGGGAAGAGTGCGAGCGACAGGGAGGACGACCACGACGACGAAGCCTACGAGCGGGAGAGGCGGGAGCAGGAAATGGAGGAGGAGAGGGAGAGGAGGAAGAAGAGAAAGGAACAGGAACGGGAAAAGGAAAATGAAAAGGGGGCGGAAGAGAAGCCGAAGGCCAAGGAGAAGAAGAAGGCGAGGAAGTGGTTCCAGGATGATGATGATGAAGAGGAGGGTGAAAGGCCGAAGAAGAAGACCAAGGGCGGCAAGAAGGTGCTGGAAATGGATCGCCAGCCAGAGACACTGGAGGACTTCGAAGCTCTGGCTGCGGGATTGCTGGAAGAGTAGTAGGAGTAAGAGTCGGAGTAGTTAGTAGTATTAGGACTTTGATACCCCATCCCGAGAATTATCACGACCTAGTTGTTGTTGTGATATTGGGCTTCACTTATCCAGTCTACCTACTTGACATGTAATCACCAACAAATTCGTCACATAAAGACGGTGCACCAGTCAAGGAAATCAAATCTGAATTCAGCGGGAGGCAGAAGAGGGTATCGTCAACCACACGAACGCCGGTCCGTCCTATGCAACCCCTATCTCTTCTCCCTGATCAGGCCCGCAGACAAGCATAACAGCCAGGCTGGATAGAGTCCTTCATCAAGACCAGCAATGCCAGCGAGCCGAAAACACAAAAAACCCAAGTGAAAACAGAAAAAAAAAAAAACACATATCAGGCGCCTCGAAAGAGAACTTCCCTCGTGATATTCGGGGACTTTCTCAAAATGCTTGCTTCCTTTGCCCTGCTTCCCTGCTTCCCTGCTTTGCTCCGTGTAACCGGCTCGTCTAACAATCATCAACTAAAACCGCCCAAACTCCAGACGAGTGCGAAATAAGAGCATAAAATAAAGTAAACATCATCAAAGAATTCGTCCCGCTCTCGCTCACGCCGACTTCAAAGGGAACTCCTTCACAGCCTCGCCGTACATCCTGACGCGATAGAAGCACGTGTGGTCCTTCTGCCCGTAATTGCTCGTGGCGCGGATGATCATATGGTCCGTGGCGATCCGCATCTCCTGCAGCGCCGGGTTGAGCCGGTGCACGTACACCCCGTTCGTGGCTTCGCGCGACTCGTACTCGAACTGGTCAATCTTGACCCATCCTTCCGCCCTGTATGGCCGCCGCGGAGTCCACTGGCCGGGAGACTCCGACTCCGACTCGGACGGGGACGCGGCGGCGGCGGCGGCGGCGGCAGAGCTGCGGGGGTAGCTGGACGGCGGCGCAAAGTGCGTCCGGGAGAAGTCTTCTGCTACCATGCGCTGGTTATCGTCTTCGATGTGCGCCCATACCTCGATATCCTTTGGGCGCGCGTCCGGGTAGACAGTCGCGCCGGGGAGAATGTGCTCGATGACGACGTACTCCGGGATGACAGTATGGCCGAGCTTGACGGACAGAGAAACGCCGTAGGGGAGGTGGAAGCGGGTCTGGGTGAGAGAGCCGCACCAGCACTCGCCCGCGCTGTTCCAGTCAAGAAGCGCCACGTAGGGCTCCATTGTCCTCGGGGACCGGAGGGAGTGGGCCGTGCTCCGGATCCAGGCCTTCTTGCCGCCCCCGCCGTTGTCGTCCATACGGTTGTTATTATCGTAGTGGCCGCTCCCCTTCACGAGAAAGTTGGGCGACGTGTGGGTAGGGTCGATGACCGCCCCGTTGCCCCGGGCAAAGAAGTTGACCCTCTGCCGCAGGTCATGGTCCCATGTGGCGCTGATCTTGCCCTCTGCGAAGCCCCTTAGCCCGGCGCGGCTGACGGCGTTGCGGATCTCCGCGTCGACGATCTGCAGCACCTCCGCTTTCGTTACGCCGCCGCTCATCTTCGACGGCTCTCCTGGGCGGTACTTGTTGGCCCGCTCGAGCATGTCATGAACGTAGGACGTGAGATTGGTCTTGAGGATCCCCTCGGTCTCGGCGCGGATCTCGTTGCGGTACGTGACGAATTCCGACTTGAGCTGGGAGAGGAATTCGCCGCGCGTGATCAGGGCACCGCCGCCGCTGGCCTTCCGGATGGCCTGGTTGGCGTACTCCAGAGCCGACTTTTCGAGCTGCTTCTCCACGTCGGCTGTTACCTTCTTCATCACGTCGTCGCTGCTCAGAGGGGTGGCGGGGTGAGGGTGAAGAAGCGGTCCTAGAATCTCGGCCACCTTGTCTCGGTTCTTCCTAGCCCACTCCGACCAGGACTTGGGCACTTGCGACTCGACCATGCGGTCGATTTCGCCGCGGGACAGACTCGACGCACTCGGCGGGGTCGTCTGGTTTGGCATGAACAGGTGCTTATCTCGCGCCAGTCTCGTCTTGATGGCCAACCAAGTTTCATCCGATATGTCGTAGTACCCGTGGGATCCTCGCCGGAGAGTGGCCACCTCACTATCCCCTTTCATCAGGTCCCTGAGGGCGTGGTAAAAAGCATCGTTCACGACAGGACGGTTGTTTCTATCCAGCTCCATGTAGACGACCGCGGGAAGGATGTTTGTGAGCTTGTCTAGAGAGCTGCGGTGGAAACTAGTCGATGTCTTGACGTTTTGCAACTCGAACTCGAGCTCCCGTAGCCTCCTTTGATACTCGACAGCATCGTCGGCGCTGAAGATGGTGGACGGGCGTGCGAGCCAGAGCGGGACCAACTGAGCCAAGTTCCACGACCACGCGCTCAGACCCCAACCATACCAGTTCAACGACGACGAGGATGCGGAGGTTTCCGAGGGTCCCGAATGAGTGCGGTAGTCGGAGAACAGGTCGTACGATGGCCCAGAGGACTCCTGACTCATATGTTTGGAAAGCATACCGCCTCCAACGTAGGCCATGGTGACGACTGCCAGGCCAACGAAGATAGGGCTGTACTTCCCCTCCATGATGAATTCGAGCAAGTCTAAAAAGCGGCCAAACACACTGAGCAGCCAGCGTCGGATAGCGGTCCGATAGGAGAAACGGCGCGGGGGCACGGGGTCGGTCGGGGTATCCTCCGGCTCTGGGTCCGAATCATCCACCGGTTGAGAGTTCCCCACGAAAGGCAAGTACTGCGCGACCTGTGCCCGTACACTGTCAGGTGGAAGGTCGGTTGGGGTTGGGCTGGGCGGCACGTTTTCGGGGGTATGCTGAAGGCTTCCGCCGCGCTGCCACGATCTTTGGTTGTTCTCCTGCTCTTCATTCTCGAGGTCGTCATCGGTTGTGATAATAGCAGCTTTGGACAGTGGGCCGGGAAAAGCGTCGTCTCGCCGGTTTATAGGAGTAGAGGAGTGTGGCTCGTGGCCGGTTGTAGTGCTGCTACCACTCTGCCGGCTAGCCCAAGTCTTCCTGCTATCGGATTGAGCCTGGCGTTGTCGCTGGGTGCGGAGCTGATTTGTAATCTGTTTCAAGCGCTGCCACTCTTCCTGGACAGGTTGTTCTACTCCCACCTGGTCTTCTTCGTCGTCGTCGTCGTCGTCGTCGTCGTTCTTCTCCTCCTCTTCTGTGGCTTGGCGCCGGGATGGGAAGGGCGTCGGTTGACGTGCCAATCTGGCGTTCCTCATAGACGTAGTGGGTTCGCCAAGGGGAATGGGTTTAGATGTGGTGAGAGGCGCGGTAGCAGGCGCGGTAGCAGACACGGGGCCAGGCGCAGAGGGTGCGGAGGTGGGCACCAAAGGCTTCGGCTCGGCGGCGGGATACTGGGCAAGATTCTGACTGGAGTGAACCGGGGCACCATGATCGGCACCACCCGGGGTATCGGCGTTCAAACCCGCGCCGCCAAATAGTGAGCTCTCGTCACCAAAGGAGCGAGTCGACTCCGGGCTCTCGATGTGGTGCAGACGTGCTGACAGGCCCGACATTTTGAAGTCGGCTGGATTTAGAGCCGGTGCCACTGGTTCTTCTAGGGAAGGCTGTGACGTGGGGGCATGGCCTGGTAGCTGGGAAGTTGCACTGTCTGGCTGAGCAACAGGCCGGGAAGGCGGCTTGATCGGGTTACGGATGGGGTCACGCTTGAGAAGGCGGGCGGACCTTGGCGGACGACGGGGGCCAGGGCGTGGTGTGGAAGGGGCCCCGTCTGCATGGTTAGGTTGGGTGGTAGGAGGTTGTTGTGGACGAGACTCTGACTGGTCTGGCGGTGTTGTTTCCTTGCGAGGCTTCTTCTGGGGCGGTTCTGTCTCATGGGCGAGTTTTTTCTTGGGCTGCAATCGCAACTCGGCTTCTTCTTGGTCCAAAGGACGCGTGCGCTTTCTTGTATTTTGGCTCGACGTAGACTCCTCCCCCGATGCCGATGCCGATGCCGATGCCGATGCCGATGCCGATGCCGATGCCGATTCTGATTCAAACTCCATCAATGTCGAGGCATTTGGCGGAGTGGACGGTTCTGCACCAGGTTCATGACCAGGCCCAGGGAGGTGATCCTGAGTGGACCTCGTATCGGATTCTGGTTCGGATGCCGCTCCAGGCACGGCAACTAGCTCCATGTCATCGTCGGACTCTGCCCCAGGCCCAAAGTCAAGTGCTGCCTCATACTCCGGACCAGAATCTGAGCCTGAATGCCCGGAATCTGGAGACCGGGGCCGTGAAGCTGGTTCGTCTTCGATTCGAGGGCGTTTCGAGGGTGACCCGGCAGATCTAGCTGTGGGCCTAGAGGAAGCCAGTGCGGGAGTGGGAGTGAGAGCGGATCCAAGGAGATCAGAGGAGTCACGGGGTGGGGAAGATTCGGTGTCGCTCATGGCGGAGGTGTCTTGTGTGTTGAGTATATCGTCAATAACACCTCGGATAGTGCGGTCCTTGCCTCGCCTGGGGTTACGGACGCGGACTGAGATAGCAGAGCCGTAAGAGGTGCTGACACGTGATGGAATAGGCGGCAAGCTAGACCGGACGGCGGCGCGGCCAAGAATGCCTTCAGGAGTATGGTCAGGGACGTCCTCATCGTGCGCCCGTTTCCTGGGATTCGTTCTGGGCGGCATGATGACGTGACGACTAAAGGTCGGACGTCAACTAAGGATTGCGCGATTAACAAACGGCTCGGGTTGATGATAAAAAAGTGGCCAGTAGGAAGTGAAGATGCAGTAAGAAGATGATTCTCAGGAGGATCAATGGGAGAGCCTTTCAGGCAGCAATGGTGTGGTGATGAGAGGGTGGAAAGATGTGAGTTGAAGGAAAGGGACGAAGGGCAAAAATAAGAAGGACAGGAGGTGGAGAGGAAAGAGAAGAAATAATAAAGAGAAGAAGAGGAACCTCGAAGGCAGTTAAAAAAAGAAGGAGAAAACGGATGAAAGAAAGAAAAAGGGCAAAGTGGTTGGATGAGTTGATGCAAGGGCTTAGCCGTCTTGAAAGGCTGCTCTCACCTTTACCTTTGACAAGGAAAATGCATGGAATGCGAAGCCGAGACCGTCATGAAAGGAAACTCATGCAAATGCGGATTTTGGTGATTGGTTGTGGATGTCCTTGGTCCTTGGTCCTTGGCCCTTGGTCGTAAGGGAGGGACAAAATCAACGGGTCCCTTTGTCCCAAGGCTCAAGGGCGACACGAAGATGGTGTGGCGATGAGAGAAGTCGTCGCGATTTGATACACGGGCTGGGGAGCTGGGGACATCGAGGGATGAAAGCACACCCGTTTTTAGGAGGCCATCCGAATGGTTTCGAGGACAAAGGTCAAGGCAGACGTCTTGGAAATTGACCGGATGGGGGTAAAACAGGCAACAAAGGCCCCAAGTTGTCGTCGTTGTCTTCGGAATAAAGGCACGCGTCTGAATAGGTGGCAGGCAAGTTGACGTGCAAGACAAGAACGGAATAGCGTGTAGTCGTTTTGTCGTAGGCCTGAAATAGAAGGCTTAAAATGGGGGAGACGATGAATGCGGAAGTCGTTTGTTTGGGACGATTCGTTTCGGTTTGTTCCGTGTGGGTAGGGATGGATCAGGTAGAGCGTGAAGTTGATGTGAGGTTGTTGTGGGTGAAGCTTTAGCAGCTACCGTGACTTTCGGGGATTTTTTTCGCGACGGAGCTTTGACGCCTGGCCGCTTCCCGCTTCGCTCTTGCCTTCTTCGTCTTGCGGGAGGAAAGCGCGACCGAGGCACGCTTGCTTCCCAGGTTGTGGGTACATGTTCACATGTACCTACCATACGCCTCGTCACCAAAATAAGCACATACGGTACCTTGACTAACTTCGGTCCGTACTTCCATGTAATTCAAGGTTCTTGATGTTCTTGCTTAAAGAAAAGAAAAAACCAGTTGCTGAAAAAAACCCCTGGGGTTTTTTTTTTTTGAAGGACAAAAGGGGGAGGGGGGAAAAAGACGGGAGAAGGAAAACTGAAGTGAAAGGGAAAAAAAAGATTGGGCTCAATCCGCGATTCGAACGCGGGACCACCTGCACCCGAAGCAGGTATCATACCTCTAGACCAATTGAGCGAATTGGGGGTGCAAACAACTGTTGAGCAGAGGAATTGAAAGTCCCCTTATGTAGATGCTTTGCTACTCACTTCGTAGATCACGTGAGTCTACGCCCGAAGTGAATCAAAACTAAAGTTTGCTCCTTCTAACTAAAACGACTGGCTCCAGACTTGCAACGCTTTACGGTTCGCTGCCATAACGGGAGGACTGGACGCGCCAGCCATCCGCGGATCCCATTTCCCGTCTCCAGTGACTGAGGTGCAGAAGGGCCCGGACAGCCTACAGCCTACAGCCTACATCATAACATGGTCGAGATGCTCCGATTCGTGGTTGGACGCTAACTCTGGTTGACTACTTCGACGTATAGTCCCATCTTGCATTTGGGGACCTCGTATATGAAGTCATCCGGAAGATTTCGACCTTACCTTTGCCCTTGATTTGACTTGGACCAAGATACCTCATGGTTCAATTGAAATCTTGTATCGTCTTATCCATGCGGCGTTGACTTGGGTTTCCTCGTTCCCCGCGCTATATTACGTTTCTACACGTACCACTCCGAGTGGTTGATCGGCGTCAAACTCTCACCGTTGCGATCGGCGTCCGTTCCGTTAACCAACAGAAATCCCCGCCACACCGCTCGTTGCTGTGCGGCTAGACCAGCCACTCGAACCCGCTATGGCCATAGTGGATTTCAACTGTAAAGGACAGCACCAGCCCTCTCCATTCCACCCCAATTCCCGTCCAACTCCCCTTCACCACCTCCATTCGTGCAGAACCACCCACCCCACATTCACAAGAGCCCCCTCTCAGGCTCAGACGCCCCAGGACTGAATATACCCCCCCTCCCCCCCGGGGGCGTCGCCGCTTAGTAGTAATACCCCACCATCCCTCTCAAACTTCCCTGATCGACTTCATTCCCCTTGCCAAAGGAAAAAGAAAAAGACGAAAAAAGGAGAGGAAAAGAGAGGGAAAGAAAGGACTCCTACTTCGTTCAACCTTGGAATATCGCCCCGCGCATAGAGATTGAGACTTCTTCCATCTAAACGGGTTCTCCCATTATATTTAGGATTCGTCGGCATTGGCGGTCGCGCGAACAAACGGTCGTTTATTTACCCTTAGATATTCTACTGGCATATCCCAGACATCAGACGCTCGCCCACCCGTCCCATACCTTCCACACCTCGCACCAGCATCTCTCTCGCAGCAAAGCTACTCTGACCACGATGGCTGTCGGAACCGTCCTCGTTAGCGGGTAAGGCCCCGGCCGCTTTTCCCCTTCATCCCTTGGTTTCGCGCATCACCCTCTCACCCTCTTGCGATGTGAGCCTACGACTGATCGCATTCCTTGGACAACTTGCAGTGGTACTGGATATATTGGGTCCTTCACCTCTCTCGCCCTCCTCGAACACGGCTACGATGTCGTCATTGTCGACAGCCTCTGCAACTCTTCCAAGGTCGCCCTTGACCGCATTGACCTGATCTGCGGGAAGCGCCCTGCATTCTACGAGCTCGACGTTACCGATGAGGATGCGCTTGACCGGGTCTTCAAGAAGCATCCTGCTATTGACAGTGTCATCCACTTTGCCGCCCTTAAGGTGAGTGCGTTCCCCTGCCCATATGCTCCCGTTGATTGAGGAGCCCCCCGACCCCCCCTTTTCGTCGCGCCACTTGGTTTCGTACCTCCTCTCTATGGCGCTCTCGCTGACCATGCTGTCGGTCGCCTTCTGTAGGCAGTCGGCGAGTCCGGCGAGATTCCTCTCGAGTACTACCGCGTCAATGTCGGCGGCACCCTCGCCCTCCTCCGCGCCATGTCAAAGAACAACGTCCCCAACATCGTCTTCTCTTCCTCCGCCACTGTCTACGGCGATGCTACCCGCTTCCCCAACATGATCCCGATTCCCGAACGATGCCCCATCGGCCCGACGAACACATACGGTCACACCAAGGCCATGGTGGAACAAATCATCACCGACCATATCGAAGCGGAGCGGAATAAGCTGAAGAAGGCCGGCCAGGCGTTCGAGCACTTCAACGGCGCTCTTCTGCGCTACTTCAACCCGTGCGGCGCCCACCCCTCGGGCCTCATGGGCGAAGACCCCCAGGGCGTCCCCTACAACTTGCTTCCCCTTTTGGGCAAGGTTGCCACGGGAGAGCGAGAGAAGCTTCTTGTGTTTGGCGATGGTATGCTTTTTTTTCTTCATTTTTTCTCTCTTTTTTCTTCTTCTTTTTTTTTGGGGGGGGGGGGGGGGGGGGGGGGGGGGGACGTATCACCCCACGAAGGCCATGGCTGTATGGCCGTGGTTATGGCAGGAGTTCCCCCAAGGCAATTGCTGACAAGTGACTACCTTAGACTACCCTTCAAGAGACGGCACGGCCATTCGCGACTACATCCACGTCGTAGACCTCGCGCGGGGCCACCTGGTGGCGCTCAACTACCTCCGCGAGCACAAGCCCGGCGTCCGCGCATGGAACCTGGGGTCGGGCCGCGGCAGCACCGTGTTCGAGATGATCAAGGCCTTCGGCAGCGTGGTGGGCCGCGACCTGCCGTACGAGGTCATGCCGCGACGACAGGGTGACGTGCTGGACCTCACGGCCAACCCTGCGCTTGCCAACAAGGAGCTCGGCTGGAAGACCGAGCTCACGATGGAGAAGGCCTGCGAGGATCTCTGGCGCTGGGTTAGCAACAACCCCAGGGGGTACCGTCAGGATCCTCCTGCTGAGCTCCTCGAGGCCATGAAGGGCTCCAAGTCTGCTTGAAAATAAAAAGTCATCCATCTATTCCCACATACTTCTTTTCCGGGCTTTTTATTTGGTAGGCGCCGTCACACATCTTGTCATCTCGAGCAAGTTTTGTCTTTAGATAGAAATCGCTCGTGTCAATCGCAGATCATAGACTTTGATAATCGAATGAAATGAAAATTCAAAGGTGTATGTGTAGAAGGGGGATAAAACACAAAGCCAAGAAAAGGAATAGATATGCCGGATTAAGCCCTTTTCTTTCTTTCTTTCTTTCTTTCTTTTTTTTCAAGTCGACGTCAAAAAGTCTACGAAACAATTGCTTCAGTCATTATTCATTATTCCGTCTTGATGAGTAGCTTGCCAACGGTCTTGCGCCCCTCGAGGTCGCGATGAGCGCTGGCGGAATCAGCGAGGTCATAGATCTTGTGGATGGGGACCTGGACTTTGCCGGCAGTGACCATGTCCAGGAGCTCCTTGCCGTATGTTTCGAGCTCCTCGCGCGTGGCGACGTAGTTGTTCACCACGGGACGAGCAAGCTTGATGTTCTTGGCACCGAGCCGCAGGATATCTACGGGAGGCACAGCTCCGGACTATTGGGCAAGTTAGTTGATCCAGTCTGGAGGGAGTAAAAACGAAAAAAAAAAAAAGAAGAAGAAGAAAAAACACCCCAAAATTTAGGCAAGTGGAAAAACATACAGCGTTGCCAAAACTGAGAACCCTCGCCTTCCGTGCCGCCACGATCAAGTCGAAATCGAACGTCGCCTTCCCGACACCATCGAACACGACATCCACGCCGTGGCCTTGGGTAATACGCAGAACCTCATCCGCAAGATCCTCCCTCCGCGAGTTGAGGACCCAGCCGGCACCGTAACGCCTGGCGACCTGGCACTTCTCGTCGCTCCCGGCCGTGGCAATGACGCGCGCCCCGACCGCAGCGAGCATCTGCACCAGCAAACCCCCGACGCCGCCGGCCGCGGCGTGGACGAGGACCCACTCGCCGCTCTTCACCTCGCCGGCCTCGCGGACGAACGTCCAGGCGGTGAGACCCTGGAGCCAGACGGCGGCGGCTTTGTCGAGGGAGAGCGCGTCCGGGACGCGGACGGCCTGAGCGGCGGGGACGGCGGAGTAGTTGGCGTAGGCGCCCACGGTGCCCATGAAGACGACCCTGTCGCCTTCCTTCAGGTCGGAGACGGAAGGGTGCACGGCGGCTATGGTGCCGGCGGCTTCGCGGCCCAGGGTCAGCGGGAAGTGGGAGGGGGGGACGGGGTAGAGGCCGGTACGGAAGTACGTGTCGATGAAGTTAACGCCGGCGAGAGCGTTGCGGACGAGGATCTCGCCTTCTTTGAGTGTCGGAAGCGGGACGGTGTCTTGGGAGAGGACTTCCGGGCCGCCCGTGTGCGGGATCCGGATGGCGGTCATGGTGGAGGGGATGGGTGCCATGTTGGCATTCGTGGTGGAGTATGTGAATGTCCTGAATGTCCTGCTCTGTACCGTGTGTCGAACGATGGGTTTTGGAGGGGATGAGAAGGACGATGATGTGAATGAGGAGGGGGCGAGGGTGGGGTGAAGGCGGGGGAGCTGAAGGTACAGATAATGATGTCGTGATACTGATCGGAATATTGGTGCTGCCATGTCACATGTGTGAGCAATGAGGTGACATGAACTTTCGTATCCAGATGGTAAAGTAAATGGGTCGTTACAATGATTAGGCGATCCCGTCTGACGCTGACAGTTGAAGCATCAGCATCTTACCCTTCAATGTTCCGATACCCGATGATCGGGAATTTCGTGATCGGAATAGCGAGTTGAGCTGGGGCGATACTCCGTACTATCTATCCACTTATTAATTGTCTGCATCTCCGGGGTAACTCAGCACTATCTTCTCACTAATATACAGTACCTGTTTCTACTGAATTGGTAATCCTTAGATAGAACAGCCGCGTTTTGTCCGGCGGTCCGGGTGCAGTATGACGGCGTGCCGCATGTCCATTCGGAATGCGACTTCGGTTCAACTCTTCAACAACACCTATATAAACCTTTTCGATACCTATACAATCTGGTTCGTCTCTATCTGTCACGACGGCCGATATAGAACTCCGAACAGATAGACGGGCGGTAATTGCTCCAAACATTTCGAATTTTACCCTTAATACCATATACCACGGCCCACTGGACATGGATTACCAAAAGCCAGACTTATTTAGGTATCCGTAGATATCATTCACCCCAGGGAAATAAACTCTAGGTTGTCAAATAAAGCGTAGTCAAAATCGTCACAAAATAGGTCAAAATTGATTAAGGTAATTATATATAATTATAACTGTCTCAGACCGTCAGGGAAACGCTACCACCGTATTTTATATAGTGCAGATTCTATAAGCGTCTACCCGGATTATACTCTTAGTAATCAGGTCTATTACATAACCGAAAAGACTATAGTCTATTCGACACACCCCCTAATCGCCTTAAACGTTAATTAGGCGATTAAAGCTATTCGTAATTAGCAGATAATCCAGCTATATAATCTCTTCGCTATAGCCGCCTTTAAATTTATCCTCTAGGTCCTCTAAATATTCTATCCGGACTTCCTTTAGCTATTTCTGCTATAACTATTCCCGTATATCTATCACGCCTACCTAGGACCTGAATATCTTAAATTTCTCGCCGTATAACGCCTTCGTTAATCCGTCTACTACTATTTCCGCGCTCGTAACGTACGTTACGAGTATTTACCCTTATTTCTTTACTTAACGTAACTAGTAGCCGTGGATATTAATATAGCGGAGGCGCGTTATTAACGTGCTAATCTCTTAATTAATTAATCGAATCGTTTAGTTATTATCGTATAAGATTCTTAATTCCGGATTATTAAATTCCACTTCTATACTAAATAATAGGCGATATATAAAGATACCCTCTTTTACATCTTATACTAACGCTAATAGCTCTACTTCCGTTATAGATATCGTGACCGTATCCTGCTTATTAGCGCGCTATACTATTATACCGCTAAATAAGCGTATCACATACGCTTAACTACTCTTTCGATTAAGGGTATTATCGGTAAATAAGGCGTTAGTATGAATTTCGATAGTATCGCTACGCCTTAGTTCTAACGTAAACGATTAGCTATTAATTAGATAAAGGATTAGATAATCGGCGGCCTTATAGTAAATAGGCCTTAGATTAACGTTAAACCGGTATAGCCTACATACTATAAACGCGATATTAGGGCGCGATATTACTATTATGTATAGTATAGATCCTATCTTCCGTTAATAGCTTTTAACGTCCGTCGAGGTCCCTAAATAGGGTAGTAGTTCTACGATCTTAATTAGGTGCGTTAGGCGATAGTTACTGCTATACTTACTATTTAGCTTTAAAAGGCGTTCTAATTTAGTAACGTAGTCGCGTTATAATAGCTAGATTTTACGGGCGGCGCGGTCGCGAATAACCTTAATACTAAGGAACCACTATAGAGGATCGCTACCTTATAGGTTATAGTAGCGTTATAGGTTATTAACGGCCTGCTTTATCTACGCCTTATATTATTCCTTATAAGTAATAACGATATCGTTAACGTAGAAGAATAGGATTAAACCGCGGCGTAGAAAATAACACGGTTCTTACGGCACTATCTAAAAGCCGTCCGCTAAAAGGATAGCCGAAAAATGCTTTTACTAAAGTAGTAAAGACTCCTTAAGTCTATATAACGCCTTTTTTAGGTGTAAACGACTCTTAGGGGCTAGAAAGCCTAGCGGCGGGTATATAAAGATATTGTAGGGGAGGGGCGCGTGTATAAACGCGTTTATAACGTTAAATTATAATAGTATAAGATTAAATCGGGCGGCGATAGCTATTAACGCGCGGAATAACTATCCGACTAGTATTACTACGTATATCTCCTTAAGCGAGGATTAATACTGCTAATCTCCTTATACTATAAGCCTTACCTTATATTTATATAGAAATCTATACTTATCGACTTATATATTATTACCTATATCGAATTAAGAACCTGATATCTATCTGCTACGGACGCCGGCACCCGTATCTATAACCCTATCTTCTTATAGCTCCGTAGGTAGTCTTCTTATATTTATCGGAATAGGTGGCTGTAAGGGTATAAGGGTATATCGCGAGGGTTCTTTAGAGGAGGAGGGAGGTCTTTACGGTGGATCTTTACGGCCGCCGGGGTAACCGCCGGAGTACCCGCTAAAGTAACCGCTAGGGTTATATTTCCTAAGATAGCCTCCCGGGATATACTTCCGGTGGCTATTACCGGGGCTATAGATTCGTAGGGTATTATTAAGCGTCGCTATAACGCTATAGAGGTAGACCTTTTTAACCTTAATTTAGTTAGCGGAGTCCTATTTAATATATATATATTAGGGGCGTAGCGGCTAGCGTTAAACGTAGTAACCTAACCGTCTCTTTTCTAGCTATCTCCTTACCGAATTAATTACGCTCCTTTATTTAATAGAAGCCCTATAGCCGTAGCTATAGGGGTATTATAGTACCGCGTTCTGTTATCCTAGAACCCTACGGCTATAGGGGTATCACGGTTCCTTAATATAACGGCTACTATTAGCGCTATAACCGATAGCGGGGTTATTAGTAGAGTAGGAAGTAATAGATCGGGCGGATATAGACGGTGATTAGGCGCTATACCGGCTAAATCACACTATTTATAACCTAAATCTTATTCTAATTAACTCGAGATAGCCTCCTTTACTCCCTTACGGCCGGGTATTACGGACTATAACCTTAACGGTAAAGCCGTCGAGGAAGGGGATCCAGGGACGTTTATCCCCGGATCTAATAATTTAAAATAAGTAGTTATATAAAGGAGGGGGGTCCTTAGCTTATACGTTCGTAAACGGCCGTGAATCTCTAGCCCTCTCCTACTCGATCTAACTAATCAGGTCTTCTAATTACTCCTTGGTTAATTAACGGAGGTTATCCTTAAAGGTGGCGATATCGCCGTTAAAGAAGGCGCGTTCGTCAAAATCTATATCGCACGTTCGAATAACGCGGTTATAGCGGCGTAGGCCAGGTACCTAGATACGGAAAATATTAGTGGAATCGTAGCCGATAAGGTAGCCGATATAGGCGCGAGGAGCGATACGATTTAATAGCTTATTAGCAGCCTTTTAGGCGTCCTTTATTATCGCGTACGCCTTATAGCCGTAAGCTCGAAGGTATAATAAAATCGGCTTCCTTTTAAAGAGGACCTTATATAGCGTTTTCTATTTCTTAGTATACTGCCTTTATAGCGTGCGGTTATAGACGTACATAGCTGTGGGAATAGCCTTAGGCTATATAAACGGTAGCAGTTTTACGTGGATATTTATTGTACGACCCTTTAAAATAACTATAGTAGCAGCGCGTTCGGCACCCCCGTTCTATACTTAAGTATCAGTAGCAGATACCTCTAAAAGGATACCCTCGCCACGTAGGAATTAGGTGATATCGTGGGATTAAGTTAGCTCGTTATTAGATTCGAAAACGCGTACCTTATAGTCTAATTAGCGGTTTATCTAGGCGAGGAATTCCTTAATTATTACGAGGATATCCACTACTAGCTTACTATTTATAACGTAGGTGGTCGTAAAACTACTATAACGGTCGGTGAAAAATATAAACCTTGAGTCCTTATCGGACGTTCGTTTAAAATCCGTGAAATTAATCGCTTATCGCTCCCCTGCTTAGGCAGGTATAGTATAAGGGCGCCTACTAACGTGCCGTTTTATCTTTATAAGCTTATAGGCCTTATAGTCGATAGTTATTAGTCCCTTAATTTTAACCCCCTACGTCTACTCTTTTAGGTGCTAAAGTGGTTTAGGGCCTATATACCCTAAGCGTAGATACTATAAGATGCCCTCCGCTATGCTTAGATACCGTATCGTCGATTTAAGGACGGCTTTTCGGGTGGCTAAAGAAGAAAAGCCTAGAAAAGCAGCCGTAGATTAGTTAAAGGGCATATATTTAATAACGGTTTAATCGAAGTAGTGACTTAGCTAGTATAGTATGGATCTATCGGAGCGCCGAATACAGTTATTTAGTGGCTTCTAATTCTACTAGTATTCTCGAAGATATAGGCGTTAGTTAAAGATTAAATTACAGGTAAAATCCTTATAGCGACGGTCACGACGTCGTTAATAGAATCAGAACTACTCGCTTTTATAGAGGCCGCTAAAGAGACGTTATTCGTTAGCCGGATATTAAGGGATTTAGAGCTTTGGTTAGACTAATAGTAACTATAGCTGCACTACGATAATTAGCAGACTATTAACCTTATTAATAAGAAGGTATGACGCCTACGGGTAAGGCTACGGCACGTCGATATATATAACTAGTAGGCGCGCTAGTTAGTATAATAAGGTCTCTTTAAGGTCACGTACGTTAACACGAAGGAGATAATCGCGGACGGCTTAACGAAGGTACTACCGGAGGCAGGAATTAAAAGACTATAGTAATAGCTTAATTTAACGGATTAAAAGAACTGTATCGAGTGGTCTAAACGACTACACGAAGAAATTAAACGCGTTAAAGCGGCCGTAACGAAGGCCCCTAAGGGCGTGGTAGATCCGATAGATATAGATCTAATTAATTAGATCCGGCTAACTAGGATCGAGGAACTAATTAAGATAGAATTGAATTAAACGGTTAAATAGGGCGGATTTAGATCCCTTTTACGAGGGCGTTTTCCCTTAACTGTTGATTTTACGATGGAAAAGTTAAGAGCGTTTGGTTTAAACCGAAGCCTCTGATTAGTTAGTTGACCTGGGAAGACCCACCTTAACTAAGGGGTTGTGTTATATAGGCAGGACCACGATATAGTCTATAGGGGATCCAGGGGGGATCCACTCTATAACTAAGGGCTCCGGATATCGAGGACTTTAGGTATTAGGATATAATAAGGGTGGATACCGGAAAAGACCGGATAGGATCTAAATAATATAGTATCCATAACAGAGTCTTCACCAC